AGGACCGAAGGACACTGCTGAGGGGAGCAGCGGGCGGCAGGAGAGGTCTGCACGCCATGTGGGACCCTCCTCTGGTGGCCGGGGAGCAGCCGGGGATAGAACCAGCGCCGCAGAGGCCGCAGGCCAGCTTCGCAACCCAGCACTCTACCGCTGCGCCACCGGGGAGGCCCCACAACTTGATTTTGAGGAAGGAAATACTCAAGTAGCTTTGAGCCAAGTCTTTGAGGAAAGACCAGGAGTACAACAGAAAAGACAACACACTGATGCAGTGCAAAGAGCAGGAGCAGACCATAAACAAGCAGTGAACACAAGCATCAGAGCCACATGGAAACAGGATTGCAGTAAAACTGATAGGAGAAAAGTAGGCAAGAAAATGAGATTCAAACACAAACGGCAAGAGAGTGTCTAGGGCACCAGACATAGGCCGTATGCCAGACTGACTCACAATCACACCTACCACCTCAGGGCTGGCACAGCCAAGGGTTGCCCCAGATTTCTGCACTCTAAAAGGGCCCTTAGTCAAAGTTCTGTGGGTTACAAGTATACTTTTCAGATGTCTCTTAGGTTCTCCAGAAGTGAGGGAGTTACCTTTCCCTTTAAATTCCAGCTACCTTGCTGTACATCTGCATCCACTCTCAAATATTTCCTTGGAAAATGCTGACCTGTCCCACAAATATATCCTTACTGTTTCTTGCCATCTTTCTCACTTTCTTTTTTAAGACTTATTTTATTTATTTATGCATACGAGAGCCTCCCCGGTGGCGCAGCAGTTGAGTGCTGGGTTGCGAAGCTGCCCGCAGCCTCTGCAGTGCCTGTTCGATCCCCGGCCACTGGCAAGGGTCCCACATGGCGCGCAGACCTCTCCTGCCAACCACTGCTCCCCTCAGCAGTGTACTTCCTCACTCTTCTCTGCCCTCCGCTCTGGCTCTGGTGAATTCTCTCACCCTCCCACACTTCTGACTGTGCCCAGTGCTTGTATAAATAAATAAATAAATCTTTAAAAAAAATTTATGCATACAAGAGCTGGGGTGTAGGCCAGAGGTGCAGGGAGTGAAAGGATTCACCAGAGTCAGAGTGGGGAACAGAACAGGCAGATCTTCTGAAATACACTGCTGAAGGGAGCAGCGAGGAGACAGGAGAGGTCTGCTGTGCCATGTGGGTCAACTCCCTGGCCAGGGATCAAACTTATGCCGCAATGGCTGGCAACAGCTTGATAGCACTATGACTTAACCCCTGAGCCACCGGGAAGGCCCAGAAATGCAACTATTTAAAATAAAAATTTAGGGCCTCCCCAGTGGCACAGCAGGTTGAGTGCAGCTGTGAAGCTGTCCACAGCCTCTGCAGCATGGGTTCAATTCCGGGTCAGCCAGAGAGATACCCACATGGCGCAGCAGACCTCTCCTGTCTTGCCTGCTGCTCCCCTCAGCAATGTTTTCAGTCATCTGCCTGTTCTGCTCCCCTCTCTGTCTCTGGTGAATTCTCTTACCCTCCTGCACCTCTGGCCTATACCTTAGTTCTTGTATAAATAAAATAAATCTTTAAAAAAATAAAATAAAACAAAAATTTAGTTGTCATTACCTTAGAATCTATTGATCACATTTCCCCCGAGGGGTTTCCTGTCAGTCTTCTTATCTTTCTGTTGGCCACTGGGTTATAAGTTGTAGTTATGAAGCTTAGAAATGGAGGCTTTGAACAGCAAGTAAGCAGTGTTATTGAGGAATTAGCGTGACTAGTTGAGTTCTCAACACTAACATGGGTAAAGCACAGAAGAATAACTACCCCTACTGAAAGGGCAGCCAGGGTTTTAATGACATTTTTAAACCTTCTGCTCAGGAACAGTTTTTTGGTTTCCTGACCAGGAAGAATGGTGTGCTGATCCAGTGCTCCAACTATGGAGGGGTGCTATGACCACTAGGGCATGTGTGCCACTTGTGGCTAGCTAGCCCTGTGTGGGGAAACTTACAGAAGGCCTCCTGTGTCTTGCCCACAGTGCTGGCTCCCTTAAGTACCTTGCATTCATTTTGGTGCAGTAAAAGAAAAAGGAAAAATTTTGATTAGAGGTTGAGGTTTGGTTTTGTTGTGGCAGATAGATGCAGCCTCTAGCTTAGGGAGCCTGACTTTGGCCTTGTGGAATTGTTTTTATGGATTTGTGTATAGTTTAGGGAATCTGGTTTTGGCTTTATAGAATTTTCTTTGGGAGTATGTGTCTGGCTGGGGAACGTGGTTTTGAATTTGTGGAAGTCCTTTTTGGTTACATGTGTGGTTTATTTTCTCCCCTAGCTTAGAGAGTTTGGTCTTGTGGACCTCTTGGGTGTATGTATTCTTTGCTTTAGATACAGGAACTTTGTTCCCCTAAGGTCCAGCCATTTATAAGGGCAACCTGGAGCCACATGCCAAGATGGCATATAGCTATTGGTTCTGTTCTTCCCAGAACTTTGTTTTCTTTTTTTTTTTTTTTTTTTTTAATAGAGGCATGCTTTATTTATTTGTTTGCTGGTTTGTTTGTTTGTTTTGTTTATACATGCACTGGGTAGAGTCAGAAGCGCGGGATGGTGAGAGAATTCACCAGAGCCAGAGCGGGGAGCAGAGCAGGCAGAAGGACCGAAGTACACTGCTGAGGGGAGCAGCGGGCGGCAGGAGAGGTCTGCACGCCATATGGGACCCTCCTCCGGTGGCCGGGGAGCAGCCGGGGATCGAACCTGCGCCGCAGAGGCCGCGCGCAGCCTCGCAACCCAGCACTCAACCGCTGCGCCACCGGGGAGGCCCCCAGAACTTTGTTTTCTTCTCCCAAGTATTGTTGGGAGTGTTCATGACCATTTCCTGATATCATTTGGCTTGGAGCTTGAATTTTCCTACATGCTTCTTGTCTTTGGCTAAGGTATACAGGTGGTAACTCACCCTTGGCCTTTAACACAGTAGAGTTACCAAAGCCACCTGACTTCCTACAGCCAGCTATCTTTTTCTTTTTTTAAGATTTTATTCATTTTTATTTTTGCATAGAATAACTGGGGTGTAGGCCAGAGGTGTGGGGGTGGAGGATGTGTGTGAAAGGATTCACCTGAGACAGAGTGGGGAGAACAGACAGATCTACTGAAATACACTGCTATGGGGAGCAGCGGGGAGACAGGAGAGGTCTGCTGTGCCATGGGGGATAGCTCCCTGGCCAGGGATCAAACTCAGGCTGTAGAGGGGATCACTGAGATATAGCCCCTAGGCCACTATGGAGGCCCCAGTTAGCTTTTTCTAATGTAAATGGCATGTATAATAAATGGCACTGCTTGATTAAACTTCAGGTCTGCTTTGTAAAGTGAGGTGGAACAGATTTAGCACGTGCACACAGCAACACTACTGAAGGGTCAACAAACAATGCTTTTGTTTTTATTTTTTTGCAATCTTCACTTTGAGGAAGGTCAGAAATACTGTTTTAAGTAAATGAGAATCCTTTTTAAAAAAAGAAAAGGAAAGAAATTCTGATACATGCTACGACATGGATGAGCATGGAGGACATTATGCTGAGTACTTCAGCATAAACAACACATTTGATATGTTCGCCCTGCCAGCAACAGCCACCTCACTGTCATGCCTGTACCCTCAGAAACCAACTGGCTCCCACAGCCCACACAAGGAGGGATACTGACACTGGGGCAACTGCCTATCTATGCCCCAGGGCTCAGAAACATTAAAGAGAGACTTAAAGGCAACCTCTACAACTGGGCACAGTCAAGAAAAAATCAGCCTGCTGAGATATTCACAAAGGTACCAATGATCAACCTAGAGCTGGGACAATGTTAAACTGTAGGGTACAGCCCTTACACAGCTCAATCCTTCAAGACCTCAAGAAGGCTGTTATGTCCAAGACCCAAGAAACACAGAGTCGAGCAAGCCGAGGAGACACAGCAACATGTTCCAAAAGAAAGGACAAGGCGGGAAACGTAAATAGTAATTTATCCGATAAAGAGTTCTACAAAGTAATGGCCATAAAGACGCTCACGCAACTGGAAAGAACCGGTGAGCACAGTACGAACTTGAGCAGAGATAGGGAATTCAGTTCCAAAGGAAAGTGTCAGAACTGAAAGATACAATAATAAATGATTCGTATCCATGTATCTGATACCTTAAGTAGTCAAATTCAGTGGCAGAAAATAAAACAGTGGTTGCCAGGGGCTGGGAGGAGCGCAGGATGGGGAAGTCAGTGTTTAACGAGCACAGAATTTCAGTTTTGCAAGGTGAGAGCTGTGGAGATCCACAGTGACGACGGCACGCTCTGTGCATTTTATTTTATTTTTATTTTTATATTCCCCATACAATTGCAACCCCCTTATTTTGACCCCATCCCTCCTTTCCCCGCCCCCTCCCCCCGCCGTGTGCATTTTATTGGATTACTTGGTCGATTTATTCATACGATGGAAAAAAGACTGCTTAATCTTTTATTTTAAAATGCTTCTGTTAAAATGAGATACTAAAAAATAAATAAATAAATAAAATGAGATCCTAGCCTTAAAATTCTTGTCACGGCAGATTTGCAATGTTGATCCATCCCAGGAAATGCTGACTATTTTGTGAACTCTATTTGGCCAGTGAAAATGAAAACAAACAAAAAACCTGTAAATGATTTCTCTGTAGAAATGAATTATAGAATTTTAAAAAGAATCCCACACATAATCACCATTTTAAAAAATAAAATAAAATAAAAACGGTTCGGATTGTAAATTTGACGTGTTTACCCAGATATCTTGAACAGTGAAGAACAACGACTGAAATAACAACCCACTTCAACCTAAACCAAAGCAAAAGGGGAAAGCTGGGGGGCCCCGCCCGGGGGACCCCGCCCAGCGCCGGCCCGGGTGACCACAGCGGGGCGCGGCGGGCGGCGGGCGTGGCCGTGGGGCCGTCGCCGACGGGAGCCGTCGCCCGCCGCCCGGCGCCGCGGCGCAGGCGCAGAACCGCGCGAGCCGCCGGCGAACGCGCCCGGAAGTGACGTCGCCGCGCTGCGCCAGCTCGGGCGAGCAGCCGAGGAGGGCGGCGCGGGGGCCGCGACCCCGGCCACGATGAGCTGCACCATCGAGAAGATCCTGACGGACGCCAAGACGCTGCTGGAGAGGCTGCGGGAGCACGACGCGGCGGCCGAGTCGCTGGTGGACCAGTCGGCGGCGCTGCACCGGCGGGTGGCCGCTATGCGGGAGGCGGGGACGGCGCTGCCGGAGCAGGTCAGGCGGAGGGTGGGGGCCGAGCCCCGATTGCGGGGCGCTTGCGGGGCGCTTGCGGGGCGCGGAGCCAGGTAACGTGGGAACGAGGCCTGGAATCCGTTGCCGGCCCCGGAGGGGGGCGGCGTGGCTTTGTGCGCGGTCGGGGCCGAGAATGCCGCCCTTCAGGTGCATCTTGCTGTTCACCTGTCCACAGCGCGCTTAGTCTGTCTCTGTTTGTCCAGTATCAAGAGGATGCATCCGATATAAAGGACATGTCCAAATACAAACCTCACATTCTGCTGTCCCAAGAGAATACACAGATTAGAGACTTGCAGCAGGAAAACAGAGGTTAGTCAGGCTTTTGTTTGTGTAGTTGTGATTTTGTCATCTCCAGTAATATTTCACAAGTTCTTGCAAAACTAACTGTTCGCTCAGTGCACATCCTGTATGTGTTTCCAGGTCAGTAGTTTTTTTTAAAGAGTTGTTTCGTGCTAGCCCAGCGGCAAAGTTTGTTATGTTACCTTTTTCAAGGTCACCTGATTTTGTTTTTCCAGGTTGCTTGTCAAAGAGGCGCTTAGTGGAACTGAATTATTTCGTGGCTTGTTTAGGCACCCCCAAATGGAGACTCACGTTAGGATAATAAGAGTTCATATCCTCATCGGCTTAAAATGTAATATTTACATATTGATTGAAGTAAAAACTAGAATTTGGGGAGTTTTCTTTTTCTTTTTTTTTTAAGATTTATTTATTTATTTATACAAGCACTGGTTGTAGTCAGAAGCGGGGATGGGTGAGAGAATTCACCAGAGACAGAGTGGGGACCAGAACAGGCAGACTGACGAAATACACTGCTGAGGGGAGCTGCGGGGCGGGACAGGAGAGGTCTGCCCACCATGTGGAACCCTCGCAGGCAGCCGGGGATCTAACCAGCGCTGCAGAGGCTGCGGGCAGCTTCTGCAGCCCAGCGCTCAACTGCTGGGCCACCAGGGGAGGCCCTCTTTTTCTTTTTCTTTTTCTTTTTTTTTAAGATTGACTTATTTATGCATACAAGAACTGGGGTACAGGCCAGAGGTGCAGGGGATGAGAGGATTCACCAGAGACAGAGTGGGTAGCATGGGGTGAGACAGGAGAGGTCTGCTGTGCCATGTGGGTCACTTCCCTGGCCTGGGATCAAACTTGTGCTGCGTTGGCTATAGATTGCTTCATAGTGCTGCATCTTTACCCCTTGGGCCACCAGGGAGGCCCCCTGGATTATTTTTTTTCCCCCCCTGGGGCTTTTCTTATGCAAGGTAGAAGAGCTGAACTTTATCTTCAGGTTGTATGTTAGTCTTGATGAGTGCATTATAAAAGATACTAGCAATAATTAGTTATGTATCAGTTTATATATAATCCCATTGTATTCTCATATCTTCATTTTGAAGTCAACAAGTGTATTATAGCATTAAAATATTATTATAATAAATAATACAGATAAGAAATAAGTACTAACTAAGAAACAGACTGAGGAGAGAGGTTAAATGATTTGCTTAGGAGTATTAAACTGTAACTCAGAGAGCTGAACTGAAAACCACAGCTTCCTGATTCTCCTCCCTATTGTTTCTGCCAGACCATGCTGTTTCTGCCTAGAAGGTTATTTTTCACATAAACTCTAACTCTTGTGAACAAAAACACTAATTTACAACTTCAGATTCACAATATGCCCTGGTATCTTAAGAATTTAATTTAGCTGTGTCCCAGACATCACTGCCAAGTTATTTTATTTTTTGATAGAGCTATGGGTTTCCTTGGAAGAACATCAGGATGCTTTGGAACTCATCATGAGCAAGTACCGGAAGCAGATGTTACAGTTAATGGTTGCTAAAAAAGCAGTGGATGCTGAACCAGTCCTGAAAGCTCACCAGTCTCACTCCGCAGTAAGAAACTTTGATGAATAAATCCTCAATGAACAGAATTGAAATCTTGAAATCATTTTAGATTGTGTCCTTGTTTTTGAAGAAGAAAAATGAGCTTGTTTTTCCTTTTCTCTTTATCACGTTCACTCTTGATTTTGCTATGTCTTTTTTTTTCCTTTTTTAAGATTTATTTTTACATATAAGAGCTGGGGTACAGGCCAGACATGCGGGGGGTGGAGGATTCACCAGAGACAGAGTGGGGAACAGAACAGGCAGATCAACCGAAGCACACTGCTGATGGGAGCAGCTGGTGAGACAGGAGAGGTCTGCTTCGCCATGTGAGTTGCTCTCTGGCCAGCCGGGGATCAAACTCGTGCTGCACAGTCTGCAGATTGCTTCACAGTGGGGCGCTTAACCCCTTGCACCACCAGGGAGGGCCTGGAATGCTTTGTTTTTTTCAGTGGGTTTTTTTTTTTTTTTTTTTTTTTTTTTCATCCTTTCCTGCCTTTCATCCTTAACATAGTACCTATTGCAGTCTGTAAGGTGTTTATTGAAACTAACTACAGGGCCTCCCTGGTGGCACAGGTGATTGAGTGCTGCACTGTGAAGCCGTCCGCAGCCTCTGCAGTGCTGATTCAATCCCGGCCAGTCAGCGAGAATCCCACATGGCGCGGCAGACCTCTCCTGTCTCGCCTGCTGCTCCCCTCAGCAGTGTACTTCATCAATCTGACTGTTCTGTTTCCCACTCTGTCTCTGGTGAATCCTCTCACCCTCCCACACATCTGGCCTGTACCGTGGTTCTGGTATAAATAAATAAATCTTTAAAAAAAAAAAAAAAACTAACTACAGGGGCCTTCGTGGTGGCGCAGGTTTAAAGACACAGTGCTATCAAACTATCACCAGCCACTGCAGCATGAGTTCGATCCCCAGCCAGGAAGCTAATCCACATGGCGCAGACCTCTTCTGTCTCATCCGCTGCTCCCCTCAACAGTGTATTTCACTAGATCCACCTGTTCTGCTCCCCACTTTATCTCTGGTGAATCTTCTTACCCCTACACCTCTGGCCTGCACCCCAGTATGCATAAATAAATAAATAAAAAATTAAAAAAAAAACTGCATAGTGTCATACTGTGTGGTTAAGAGATAGACGTACCATGTTTAAAATATATAAATATTATTTGTGTGTATGTGTGTGTGTGTGGATGGCATAGTTTCTGTATTTTGGCTAATGCTGTAATATGGAGGACCCAGTAATTGTTCTCATGTTTGTTTGTTTTTTTTTAAAGATTTATTTATTTATGCATATAAGAGCTGGGGTACAGGCCAGAGGTGTGGGGGGTGAGAGGATTCACCAGAGACAGAGTGGGAAACAGAAAAGGCCGAATGACCAAAGTACACTGCTGAGGGGAGTAGCGGGCGAGTCAGGAAAAGTCTGCTGTGCCATGTGGGCTGCTCCCTGGCCGGCTAGTGATCGAACTTGTGCTGCAGAGGCTGCTGGTAGCTTCATTGGTTGTGTCTTAACTCCTTGCACCGCCAGGGAGGCCCCAGTTCTCATGTTTCTAGAGTGCTTCATAGTTGTCATGGTACATTTACATGTGCTCTTTCATGTAATCCCAGACTAATAGATCGGCACCACACAGTGGAACTTATGAGAGATAAATTTCATCTTAAATTCCATTATAAGCATTTGCTGGCTGGCTTAACAGAAGTTTAGGAAATGGGTATTTTAAATATGTCAATTTCATTTGGGAGAAAAAATAAATAAACTTCATTTTCTGTGGCCTATAGGAGAAAACTTGAATCTTGAAAGAGACTAATGAAAAACTTGCTAAGAGATACATCCAAAGATAGAATAAGGTACTTTGGAATATGGTGAACGTCCTTGCAGTAAAGGTGTTGGAATTTAAGTTAAGCAGCCACTTGGACATACTGTCCAATATCCAGTTGCTGATTAAATCAGAATTATGTGAAAAAAAACTGAGTACGGTAAAGTAACTTTATTGTGGTCTTACCTCTGAGAGCTCAAATTATAGTGAAACTCCAATATAACCTCTGTAAAATAAATTAAATGAATCTTTAAACATCATAATACACATGTTCTTCGAAACTCCAAATGTTTAGAAAAGAATGATTTTTCCCCCATATTATTTTTCTTAATATCTTCACAGGAAATTGAGAGTCAGATTGACAGAATCTGTGAAATGGGAGAAGTGATGAGGAAAGCGGTTCAGGTGGATGATGACCAGTTTTGTAAAATTCAGGAAAAACTAGCCCAATTAGAGGTAAGATTGTTGCTACTACTTTAGGTTCACAATATGTCAGGGAGTTTTCAGAATCTGAAATGCATGCCATCACTATCCTGACTGTCACTGCAATGTGGTCATGTTTCTGTATCTGTGATTTAAAATGAAAACTCCCCCTCCCTACCCTTTCTAAGAAAGGAAATGTCATTAGTAGCAAACAACAAAAATGCCAACTATGTATTGGCGAGAAATTGAGATATTACTGTATCAAGAAGGTTGAGAGGGTGGAAGGGACAGATCACAGATAAGCTGAAATCCTTGCCGTAAAAGGAGGATGTCTAAAAGTGGTGGTCAGGAAATAGCAATACAGGCATATTATTTAGAATTACGGAAGTAATTCTACACGTGTACTTAAGTAATAGGTAAAAGTAATAGAAAGCGAAATAGATAATAGATAAAAAGAAAATAGATAAAAGTACTAAAACTGGTTGTCTTTGGGGAACAATGCCAAAATATTAAAAGCTATTATCATGGAACATTTTGACTAAAATAAGAATATATATTGCAAAGGCAGGCCTGGGGTGTTAATGTGCTCATAAAATTGTTAAGGAAAAACTAGCACCTAATATGCTATGAAATGGTTTAAAATACTTAGTGTAAGATACAGGGTACTAAGAGAAGCACTTTTTATGGTAGAAGATTTTATGACTATGGGCTTTGACTCTTGGGGAAGCTTGAAAATGACTGTGGTTTAGCACAATTTCCTACAGAGAGAATAAGGAGGAAGAGTGCAAGCTGCTCTATGTAAAAATCACAGGGAGAGACAGGATCCCAAATAGGAAATAGGAGTCAGTTAAAATGATAGAATGGCCTTGTCACACTATCCCTGATTTACCTCATTCATGGAAATAGCCCTAAGAAGATGCAGAACAAAGTGGAAAAAATGTGGTCATGAGATTGAGACGCAGTAGTCCTCCCATCTGTTTTCTCAGTTTAGACAAGTGTGTAGACGTCTGTGAGCCACGGTGTCCTCCTCTTCAGGAGAGCTTAGACATAAGCGATGATAACCAGCCCTGCACGGTGTTAGGAGAGAACATGTAAGACATCCACGTGCCACCTGGCTACGTGCCCAATAAGTAGTTTGCACTTCCCTTTCCCTCCCTTTGTCCAAAACTATAGGATCCATAGTAGAGAGGAAGAGTGGAAATATTATTAGGAATTTGAAAGCTGGAACAATGATAAGACTTGCGGGAACCATGAAGAATACAACGATCCGTGAATTCTTCAACCAGAGAAGGACCTTGTTATTGTCTTCCTTTGTAGTCCTAACACTTGGTGTGTGGAAATTAGTTGGTAAATGTTTGTTAAATAAGTAGTATATGAGGAAATTCTCAGTTCTTTTGTTTCCTTAAAACTTTTAAAATTTAAAAAAAAATTTAATTAAAATAGTATGCTTTCTGTTCCTAACCCAAAACAATATGCTCTGATGCCGCTTGACAATCAAAATACCTTAAATAAACGTATCTTTTTTTCTTTCAGCTTGAAAACAAGGAACTGCGAGAATTGTTGTCCATCAGCAGTGAGTCTCTTCAGGTCAGGGAGGAAAACTCCATGGATACTGTTTCCCAGGCAATCAAATAACTGAACTTCTGAATGGCTGCTGGAGACTGTCCAGCAGGAACAAAGAAAGAAGCTGTCATCTTCCAATTCGAGTATTATCCATTCAAATTCTTGCCTCAGACCTGTTGATTTAAGATATCAGGTGACAATTTAGAATTCATAGTCAAAACTGACTATCCACAAAACAATGTTTAGGTGTGTTAGTGAAAATACAGACTGAATTTCACCATTCCTTTCTCTAAGAGACTACTTTTTAAATTTTCATTTGTGGGACCTCAATTTATATTAACTTTTCAGTTCATTTTTGTTTTTTTACAACAAGTTTTTCTTAAAACATAGAGCATTTTATTACAAACCAGCAATTTTGTTTTATATTTAGATTGTAATTCTTTGCGATTTAAATCATTTTTAAGAGATTTAGCTTTTTAAATCTGTTTGGCATAAACCTGGATTTTTTTTCCATTTAAGAAAAGTAATACAGTTCTAGATCAACAGTTAGATTTGAACTAGATCAATAGCTAGATCAACAGTTCTGATTTATAATCTCATTCACCTTCTATGAAGTTTAAGTCTCTCTGGTGCTAAGAGTTGCCACTTTGTGACCTAGTGTCTTCACTCTTAATTTGAGAGAACCTACTGCTAGTCCCCAGGAAATGTACTTGAAAATAGTTCAGTTGCTTTTTCTTGTGGTAGTATTGTCATTGTATTGTTCAAAGAATGCTGAGAAACTTGTCCTGTGTGCGTGCATGCACATATGCACTCTTAGTTCAAATGCTAAAAATAGCTCTTATTTATTCCATTGGCTATAAGTCATAAGTTTTTCAATTTTGCCCTAGGAAATCTCCAGCTTGAGTGGTTTACCCATGTGAAAAGCACATAATAGTCATGTCACAGTTGTTAGGTACTACATCCTACTGTTCATATATAACTTCCAACTCTAGGATTGAGGAGCATCATTTACTTGGATGTCTTCTATTACAGTACTGGTAGTTGTCTTTCTTTTTAGATCTATTTTTCACAAGGAAGCAGACTCTAATAAGAGTCATTACATTTATAGTGCTGTGTAGACAAGGCAGTGTTGAGATGCAAATACTAAGTGGTCATCTATGCCCACTGACAACGCATTCCCTTCTCAATCTACTCACATTTCAGATTCATCAGTTCTTGTCAGTGCTCACTTCAGCAGCACATTACACATTACATCGCGTTACATATCAATTTAGGTTTGCCCAAAAATAATTGAAATAATGAATGCTAAACTTGTCAATGTTTTCCAGTAACACTAAACTCCATACTGCAGGGGAGAGACACAGTATAAAAAAGAGGTTTTGTCAGTGCTTTGTGAGACACAAAATTTATTTTGTACTGCCATAAAGAATTCACTCCAATTAAAACAACAGAATCTCTCCAAGATATCCTGAAAGCATCTGATCCCAGTATTTCTGATGAACTTTGCCTGCAGTGGTGGGTTTTACAAATAGGTATATGTCATTTTAGAATTTGTCACATTTCTACTCTTGAGTCCTACACATAATTTGAAAAATATTTCCACCCAGTGTGGGTGGTGTTAGTTCATCTCCCAAGAGTAAGTAAACTTTTAGCCCAGCCATTCGCCTTCAAGTTAATGCCCTAAGTGCCACCATTCATGAAGCAGGTACCTTATATCATTTGTCAGTTGCCACGCCAGCTTTCAGTGAAAGTCATAATCAAATGGTCCACTAATGTCTAACATGGTGTCACCTTTAGCTGCCTTATATTCCTTTAGAGTTGTTTATAAAGTTCTTTACATATCAGATATTAGGATAAATCGTATGTTAACTAACTTTCCTCCCTGGCAAAACCTTGATGTATAAGTCCAGAGAACTATCAGCACCAAATTCTCACCAAACTCTTACCACCAGTGAGAATTTGGTGATGATAGAGTGTAGTAAGTTGAAAGGGAGAAGTAATTTCTTCACTTTGATTAGAGTGGATATTAAAGTTTCTTTTGCAGTGGAGGGAGTAACTTAACTGGCTTGCAAAATCTTAATTCAAACCTCATTTGAGAGTATCAGCTGACTTCACCCAGCAATGAGTCTAATTATTTGAAACTAAAAAACTGGGGTTTTTTTCTCCCCCACATATATAGCAAACTATAAGTAGACAAGACTTCATAATTTATTATTCCCACAATGCAATCAGCGGTATAATACTACAAATAGTTTCTGAAATGGTTTTAGAACTATCCTCACATTACAAATCAAAGTAACATCATTGCAAATCAGTTCATAATTTTTTTCAGTTTATAAATTAAAGCAGAATTTGGAAATACCTTGAAAATGTTCAATTTTTTTTTCATTAAGGTAACATTGGTTTGCAGCACTGTTTTAGGATTACATGTTCGCACTGAAAATTTTTTAAGTATTAACCAGTATTCATATTTATTACCTTCACTTATTAATTAATACCTTGTGGTGCATAAATTGATTCAAACATCGAAGGTCTATTTCAGTGTTCCACAAAATATGGTTCACTGACCTACTGAAATGGAAATTTGGGGGTGGGTCCAGGAGTTGGTATTTTAATGATAATCCCAGATAATGTTTAAGGACAATAGTTTGACAATGTCTAGTCTACTACGTGTTAGACACTTCATTTGGAGTCATAAATAGAAAAAGGTGGGGGCAGGCATTGACGCTTCGAAGAAAATCTGGCAGACACAGACAAGTATAATTAAAGTGCAGTGTGGGCCTCCCCGGTGGCACAGCAGTTGAGCGCTGGATTGCGAAGCTGCCCGCAGCCTCTGCAGTGCGGGTTCAATCCCCGGCTGCTCCCCGGCCACCGGAGGAGGGTCCCACATGGCGCGCACACCTCTCCTGCGCTTCTGACTGTACCCAGTGCTTGTATAAGAAAATAAATAAATAAATCTTTAAAAAAAAAAAAAAAATAAAGTGCAGTGTGATGAGTCCAATATAAGAATGGATAGGACACAAATTAGGGGCTTTTTAAACTTGCGACCCTAATAGAGACAACAAATGGGTAGGAGAAGAACTAGAAAGTTTAGTGCTTTCTAGTTATTGTATAATCTCTATTTCGACTGTACCTCATTTTATGGATACCAAGGTACAAGGAGATTATGTTATTTGTCCAAATAACCAAGATTCAAACCCAGACAGACGTGAACACATTCTTAACCACTAAGTCAAGATACCTATAAATGCCAACTACTTTGCAGAGTTCAAGTGGTTCTTGATTAGCAAAATCTCTTTATTAACAGTGCAAAAGAAACATCACAGCCACTGTATTAGGAAATATAAATTCAGTACATGAGTTTTAATAAGATATATTGTCAGCTCATTTCTAGAATGGTGTGACTCAGACTGCATGAAAGGAGCAATGTTCAATCTGGTCATTATTACATATGGGAAAGAGTGCAGCTCTTTCAAATCTGCCTGTTTAGCTTGTTGCTTTTCACCCTTCATGCTGTGTTCTTACGGTTGCAAGAAAGTTGCTGCTGGGCCAGGTGTCATGTCCATGTTGAAGGCAAGTGGGGAGGGGGATTGGAAAATGGCACGTGCCAGCTCTATTCTCTTTTATGATGAAAAACAAGTTTTCTCAGATATTCCAGAAAAATTTTCCCTTGTCTTATTTGCCCGACCTGTTAAATGGTCATTTCTAGCTGCAAAGGTGGCTGGGTACATAATTGCCCAAAGTAAAAATCAATGTTATAGTAACAAAGAAGAAGAGTATTGGGGAAGCAACTAACAATGACACAAGTCATTTTACGCTGTGCAGTTTTTTTTTTTAAAGATTTATTTATTTTTATACAAGAACCGGGGTACAGGCCACATGCACGGGAGGGTGAGAGGATTCACCAGAGACAGAGCAGGGAACAGAACAGGCAGGCTCATGAAATACACTGCTGAGGGGAGCAGTGGGCGAGACAGGAGAGGTCTGCTGCGCCATGTGGCACTCTCGCCAGCCGGCCAGCTGGGATCAAACTCACACTGCAGAGGCTGTGGACAGCTTCTCAGTGTGGCACTCAACCACCTGCACCACCAGGGTGGCCCATACACTGAATAGTTTTGAACAAACATAAGCATTAGCTGAAGGAGTGTGTTGATGCTGAATAGCCCAGAGAATGGGCCATGGCAGACATCTGTCATTTCTTTTTTCACGGCCCAATATCTTAACTCTATGTTTACAGAATTCCTCACCTAATGATGCACAGCCTTCCTCCTTCCTAAAAATGTTGAAAGTGCCAGGTTTATGTTTTTCCAGTCTCTTGCAGCTGCTGAAGGTATATAAGATATATCTGCCTTAAACTTTAAAGGGAACAAAGCAGAATCCTTTGAGTTGAGATCTGCAACACCTGCCTCATGCAGCCCCGCAGGAGAACAGCCAATTGTTTTCAGTAATAATTAGTATCCAGTCAGCAAAGCAAATGGTGTGAGCTGCAGTGTGTCTGCCCGGAAGTAGATGGGAATCTTCACTGAAGCGAGTATCCGGCAATCAGAGGCTTGTAGCTTCTAATTCTGGTTTTCTGTCTGCCTAGAGATCCTGAGCATTACTATTAGCCTTTTAGTAAAATCGCTTTTTTGTTAAAAATTAACCTGAATTGCCTATAATTAAGAACTCTGATCAAATAGTCTTTAAAAATACATGAAAATATAAATTGTCAACACTTTATGCATCATTTTGCACTTAAATATTTTAATATTTGACATTTTAAGGGATAAATGTGTAAATTGTCGAGTATAATGAGAATTTACTTAATTAGAACATTACCCACACTTTGCATTTGTCTACCTGAGTTCCTCTACTGTCTCCACTGCACTGCCTTCTTCTAATTGTTTTATCACACATGTAAGAAGACCTAAATATGTATGTCTCCCTAAAGTGATGTTTTTAAATTTTGTTTCTTTTTGAGCTCTATAAAATTAGTGTCATTAAATGTAGTCTATGAGGATTTTTCACTCAGCGTTATTAATCGAAGATTCATAATTTTGTTGTATATAGCTGTCATTCATTTTCATTGATGTGTATTTCAACATGTGACAACAGTGTATTAAAGGGTACATATAAAATAAAGCTATATACATTTTTAAGATCTTTGGTAATATCTGACATTCTGATTTTTAATTCTTTTAATTCTCCATATGATAGGAGCGGTTACATTTCATATTTGCTTACAGTTATAGCAACTTTCATGGTGAGTGAAGGCATATTATCCACTAATATTCATAGTGGAAAGCAGACAATGCTTTTTTCATGCTCCAAAAATACTAAAGAGGCTCAGCCCTCTTTAGTATTTTAGTGTTAATTATCATTCACTCACCATTTCATGTAACCTCCTGGAAATATGTAGGAACTGAACAGGATTGTGTTTCTGTATGTTTCTGATCCTAAAGTTCAGTTTTATTTAATATTTAACACCTTTGAAGCTGCATATATGTCATACATGTAGGGGCTTGGCACAGTTGCTTCTAAGCATAAGCAAAATTGGTTTGCATTGGGCCTCCCCGGCGGCGCAGTGGTTGAGCGCTGGGTTGCGAAGCTGCCCGCAGCCTCCGCAGCGCTGGTTCGATCCCCGGCTGCTCCCCGGCCACCAGAGGAGGGTCCCACACGGCGTGCAGACCTCTCCTGCCGCCCGCTGCTCCCCTCAGCAGTGTACTTTGGTCCTTCTGCCTGCTCTGCTCCCCGCTCTGGCTCTGGTGAATTCTCTCACCCTCCTGCGCTTCTGACTGTACCCAGTGTTCATATGAATAAATAAATAAAGAAATCTTTAAAAAAAAAAAAAAATTGGTTTGCATTCCCAGTGGCATGATTCAACAAAGGAAAGCTCTTGATATTTCTATCAACAGGGTGAAAGGAGCTAAGAAAGGTTTTTACATTTTTAATTTGCTGGGGAAAGATTTCATGAAACATGAAAATCTTACGCAATTCAAATTTCAGTGTTCGTAAAGTTCTAGTGGACACAGTCATGCTCATAGCTCTGGGCTCCTGTCTTACAGCAGCAGATTAGAAAACTTGAGACCAGACTGCACATCCTAAAATACAGACTCTCTGGTCCTTCAAAGAAAAATTTACCAACTTCCGCTTTCACACAGCCCTTTTACATCCTGGGAGACGTAAGGGATAGCCCACAGTGATCATAGTCCTACTTTAACCTTTCTAGGGAAATGAGCCCTAATGCAATCTAAGCCAAAAGTCAGTGTGAAACAAGGGCAGCCACCAGGGACCCAGAGGCACGGACCTGGACTTGAGAGCCAGCTATGGGTGGCCTCAGGAAAGTCTCCACTCCTTTGTGAGCCTGTTTTATCCCTTGTAACTTGGGGTGAGACTAGTTACATTGGATGGGACAATTATCATTGCATGGGACTGTGGAATAGATTCCAAGGGAATTGGGAAGACTAGGAAGGCCCCATCCAAGATGCAGGCTACTATGCTGAGTCCTCAGAAAATACTTTTGGACTGAACAAGGAGGTCTGCCTATCCCCCATGACAGGCCAGACAGAGCTTTGTGTTTGTCATATGTTTATTAAATTGAAAACAAAAATATAAGATGCCATGAAAAAAATTGGACAAAGGAAACAAAAACACCTGGTTGGATATGTTTATAGTGTACTTCCCCAACAGAACAGCCCATTTCTTAACAACCTTTGTTGTTTTTTTAACAAGGAGTTTAGGTGTTTTTTTGTTTTTTGTTTTAACAAGGAGTTAGTAGATTTTATTTGTAAAACACTTGAGACCAACACAGGAAAAAAATGACTTCCTGTGGGAAAGATTACACTTAAAAAAAAAAAAAAAAAAAAAGACCTAAGAGGCAGCTCTCCTGCCCACTTGTGACTATGCAGGTGCTTCTCTTTATTTCCTTTCTCCTTTTCCTAATAAATTTAAAAAAAAAAAAAAAAAAAAAAAAAAACAGGCCTGAGAAGAATTAGTGCCTTGGTCCCAAGGAACAGCAACAACTCCAGTTGGTCCAAGGAATTGAAAAGATATTGGGAGGTTGGGAGGAAATAATAGGAGGGAAGATAATGAGAAGTTACAGAAAATAAGGGGCTTGAAGTGGGCAACGAGAAGGGATTGGAGGCCAGGGAGTGGATATGGGTAGGGGGAGGCCTCCCAGCACTTCCCCTGCCGCCCACCCCTGTGTATCCATGAGGGAGTATCAGTGGAGGAGGTCCACACATGGATACAGAGGACCTGGGTGACCCATGGGAGACTCGGGGAATATGCCCATAAGAGGAGGCCCAGGACAAGGCCTTCCAAGGGTGGTCTGGGTGGTGGCTGCCTGCCAGAGCCTAGGGGCCTGCATGGGGGTGTCCTTAGCCATGAGGGCTATGGTGGGCCAGCTATATCTGAGACATAGCTGGATAGGGCATCTCGCTCAGTGGGAATGATGATGATGTGAATACCCAGGTACAAGGAGTCCAGTCCTTGGGTTTCCTTTTGATGGGGGGTCATGTCTTCTTGCCCTGGGAGTCATTAGTGGGGAAGAAATGGCTGGGGATATCCCAAGTAGAAAGGTCCTAGGAGGCAGCACTAGGGGTGGGAAGCAGCCATGAGGAGGCATACCTATAGAAGGAAGCCCAGGTGCCAATGAGGATAGAACAGGATTGGGAGCAGAGAGTAAAAGCATGTACAAACAGCTGATGAGGGCAGTCAGCCCAGGAGAGTGGGTTCTGACTTCCAGAAGTCACTCAACTGCTGAGTCATGGTGCTCACCCTTGGAATCCTTCTTGAAGGCATAGGATATGGTGACAGGATGCTTACAGAGATACTCTCCATTCGTGGCTTCATTTGCTGCATCTGCCGCACCAAATAAAGCAAATTCAGTAAAGGCATAGTCTCTGGAGCTGCCTGTGTCAGGATCCCACATAATCTTGGGGGTCTTAAGATGACCCCAAAGGTGCTAAATGCATTTTCTCATCAACCTCTGAGTCCAGGTTCCCAGTGAAAATATTGGCCCCACATGCAGCATTTTGTTATGAACTGATGCTTTTTACTCACCCATTTTGGCTTCCCATTGTTCCACAGTTTAATCATTTCATGATCTTAATCGTATGTATCAGCATCATATGTAATCATATTCAAGCCAGCATCTTCCTCACTGAAGAATTCCACATAACCATAGCCTTCATTTTACCAGTGACTCTGAAATTGTACAAAGCCTGGGGAAAGTCTTGGTTTGTGGGTCCTCACCCAGGTTCTCACAATTGTAATACACGACTCAGGCTCCAGGTGCAACAACAACAGGGTTTATTAGGGGAAGGAAGGAGTTTCCAAAGCTACAAATGGGCAGCTCTGCTATGTCAGGTAGTATCCACAGAGTCCAGTAGTCCAAACCAAAGGCTGCTTGTGCAAGACAATATTGTCCCTCCACAAGATCCTGGAGCTGGTGGCACACTGGTAAGTGATGGACCAGGACCTAACTCACCGTGGGTGCCGAAGGTAGAATGGCATCCTGGTGAGAGCAAGAGGCCAGCAGAGTTCTGCTGCGCCTTTGGGGCTGTCCCTGGCCGACTGGGAATGGAACTGGCACTGCAGAGGCTGCGGACAGCTTCACAGCACTGTGCACAACCCGCTGTGCCACCGGGGCTGTCCTATTCAAGCTTTTGAGAGTTCGTTCTCTCTACCAGACATTGTCAGTAATCAGGGATTCAAAGATGATTGTAGCTAGTACTGCTAACTAGTACATACTAATAATCACAAGAGAATGAACAATGTAACCATTGAAGGGAAAGCAAGTATCCGTGTCTAGCAGGGGAAGGCAACAAAGAGACAACTTGAAGATAGTATGTATCAGATTGGACTATTAACCACAGAGGTCAGAGAAAAATCTTAAGCGTCAACCTCTTAGAATTCAAGATTATTACTTTAAAATAATAAAAAATAAAAAACTTTAAAAATGATTAGCTCGAAATTGGAGGTTATATACTCTCAACACTGTGCACTTTTCCTTTAGTTCCACTTATTTCAGTGTGCACATTTAGAATTGCTTTGTTTTTTAATGACACTAGTCTGAAAAACTGAAAGTTCCTTGAGAACAGAACCAATTGTCGTCATTACTGTATACATCCCAGCGATGACACATACAGGAGATGCCTTAAAAGGGAAAATAAAGTGGGTGGGAGAGTTCTCAGGCGTGTTCCCGGTCATTGTTTATCCAATACTGTCAAGGGAGAGAGCCACAGAATCTCTGAAGAGCATTCCTCCCCAGAAGGGCTTGCTCTGTTATTTGCAAAGGGATAATTCATTGAACATTTTTGTGGCCAGAATTAACCATTCTCCATTCCTTTTATTCCGCTGGATGAATAACCCATCTCAACCTTTTGGCTACTGAGTCTACCTTTCTGATTACCAGATCGACTACAAGTTTCTTCTGGTAACTAGAAAGGTCAGTTGAAGGAGTTCCTTTTGGGGGGCGGGGGTGGGGGGTAGGATTTGTTTTTAATGATTATGCTGCCTTGCACAACTCTGGCCGTCTGTTGCAAGCAATAGTTTCTGGAAGACAAAATCTCAGTTAAGACTTACAAATTACCTCACTCTAAACCTGACTAGTAATAAACCCGGCAAGTGAAAGAAGCTTGCACTGTAAGGAGGAGGGGAACCTGGACTTTGGAGATTTCTGGATTATCGCTGGAAACAGAAATTCTTTATATGACATTACTCGCTATCCTCAAAATTGTTCGCCTTCAAGGTTTAACCCTGGTCTCGCCGCTTAAAGTATAATCAGACTTGCAAAGAGCAGAGACGCCGAGTCACTCTCCACCCCAGCCTTTGCGTCCCAGCGGAGTCAGTAAACAGAGATTTCTTCCTGCAACTCACTTAGGGGGCTGGGGGTGGGGGGGTAGGAAATGTAAGGGAATGAAGCCACCATCTTGGTTATGGTTAAGCACAGCACACTGACTGCCGTCACTCAGCCCTTGTGCGCAAGCGCAATAGGAGTCCGGCCCCCTCCTCCCTTCCTGTGCACGCGCCTGGAGCCCGCAACTCTCGCGAGAGAAGCGAGATTTATTCCTACGTACCGGGCCGTGCTGCTTATGGCGGCGCTGGAGAGGGGGCGCTGAGCTGTTGGGGTGAGTACGACCTTAGGGTCCAAGTGGGGGTAGCAAGAAACCAGGCTAAGGGAGAATGAGGAGCCCAGTACTAACGGGAGAGACTTCTGACTCAAGGTGGGCACTCCTGGAGGTCCGGGTAGAGACGATCTCACCCGAGTTCCCACCCCGAGCTTTTCCTCCAGGCCTCTGTTCAACCGTCTGGACTCCACGTCAGCCCACAGAGCCGAGGCGAAGAGTCGAGGCCCGGCGGCCGCGCGTGCTGATGGTGGTGGTGGTGACTTAAGTGGGGGGAGGGAGCGAAAATGGAGTCTCCGACCGCAGCCAAGATGGAGGAAGGGGTGCGGGGCTCGGGCGCGGAGGCTGCTGGGAGCTGTAGTCTAGCCGCTTCCTGCTTTGCGGCTTGGCTGAGGAAGCGAGAACTACAAGTCCCGGCGGGCGGGGCGAGGGGGTGGTGGCGCGGTCCTTTGTGTGAGCCTGGAATCGCCTGAGGCTCCGGAGAGGGGCCTATTCTCACCTTGGACCCTGTAATTTTCTGATCGTCGCCAGTGAGGGGATCTGACTACGAGTACCAGAGCGCAGTGCGGCCGTGGCGCCTCCTTTGTGTGGGAACCGAGACCCCGCTCCATCCCAGCGCTTAGGGACGTCGCCTCTCCCCGGTCACGTCGGGCAGAGGCGCTTCAGATTGTCACACTTGCTGCCCCTCACCTAGGCTGGCTGTCTCGATGCTCAACACCCAGCCTTCCCTTCTTCACCTTCCGTTCAGCTTCCTCAGAAAGGGAACCGGCCCCTAGTCTCACTCCCCTATCCTGAGGTGGGTCCGGCTGAGAGTTCGGCGGAGTCCCCCCCTCACTGCCTCTTCTGGTGCAGGAGCCCGGCCCGCATTGTGCAGGGATCGCCTTGTCTTCGTCGTTCCGCACCTAGAGTTAGCATTTTAGCGTCCTGGTCGGACACACTTTGAACATTTTTACCATCCAAATACGAAATCTTAGTGCCGCCATTCATTCTGCCTTCAGGCTTTCCTTTAGGAACACCTGGATTGCCCTCTCGCTTGACTCACAAGTGAGACAGGGACACTCCCTAAAAGTCTTCAGTCTGCAAAGACAAACATCTGAACGTTGTTGAGCAAGGTTAATTTCCTTGTTTTGCGCTTAAAATGAAAGAATGGGATGCTCTTTTAAAGCAGCTGGGGTGAAGAGAGGGAGGGACGCTCAAAGGCACTGTGGTGGTTGAGTCTTTCTTCCTTTGAGAGGCCTAGCTTTTTAGGAGGATGGTAAGAACTGGCACCTCTCAACAGAGCTCCCAGAACGCTGACTAGTTTTCATTTTGACTTGCCAGAAGCAAGCGTTCTCGGTACTACAGTGAGTAGCAGCAGCTTTGTGTCCTTTTATACTAATCAAAAAGAGGGTATTCTAGTTAAATATTCAACCTTGTTTCTTTTTGTTTCCTATTGTCTGTAGGCCCAAGATGAAAGAGGTCGTCATAGTTTGAGTGATTTTGCAGCTGCTCTGGATGTTTATCATCCACATGAGTATTTATAGCAGCTGAGTTGAAAAGTAAAGTATTTGAGGCACAGTAGATAGGTTTTCTTCTTTTGTAAATAAGTTGTGACTTAATAAGTATGACCTTTAAAAGAGTGCTTGAGATTCTGGGAAATTCCTAGTAAATAAATAAATGAGGATGTGAGACCTGACATGGAGTTGGGCTTTATTCTACTCTTAGTTTTTTCCTCCCTCCATCTAACGACGTGGAGTCTGGCTGTCCAACATTTTTTTTTTTTTTAATGTTTTAAGTTGTAAAATATACAAAACAAAATTTAATCATTTTAACATTTTTTAAAGTGTAGATTCAGTAGCATTAAGTTCGATCACATTGTAGCAAGGACCATACTTTTGACAAGCTCATCGATGCGTGGAAATGCCATTTGGGCAGCTTTTGAAGGAATTGAAATTTTGGACTGTAGTACAAAATAAGATTCTTGAGATTTTTGTTAAACACAAAGAATTGATTTGCTTACTTACCTTTGTGTTTTCAAAAACAAAGGGAAGACTAGCTTGAGACCTATTCCGCAGACTTATGGAGAGAACTGTAAGATTTTTGATAATTGGGAATTATAGCCAGAAAAATTACATCTGTAATTTTTAAGAATTGAGTAACTAGCATGTCTTCTGTGGTGACCATGCTGTGATGGGAGTGACTTGTTTTCTTGGCTCCCGTCATACCTTGCTGCTAAACAAACCTCTTGTCAAATCAGGATTAAAAAATTCCTTTGTCTTATTAGAATCTATTTCCATTTGAATATGTTAGTACCTGGTTTAAAAAAAAAAAAATAGACTATTTCAGTTCCTAATGCCAAGCCCGAAGAATTTTTTTTGGTGTTTTACTGAGCTACATTTTGCATTAGGGCTATTATGAGTGTTGTATTCTGTTCAGAAGTATTGAATGGTGATTTTTTTTTAAGAATTTAGATTCTAAATGTTATTTTATGTTGAGACAAAACATTAATATGTAGTTGAAAATAAATTGATCTGCAGTTTCTTCACTTTGAGCATATGTGTTACCCATTGATTTTCAAGGACAGCCAGTCCATAACTGCTTAGTTATTAGGATTTTCACTTCTCAAATTTAGTATGTCTTCCTGCTATGGTCAGTTTAGGTAGGTATTGCCTTTTATCATTGAAAGTCTCTGTCCCAGGGCTTTACATTTACTATGGCCATTTTCTTTTTTTTCCTCAGTGGCCCCACCAGTCTACACCTGTTCCTATCCCTAACCATGTACACTTTGAACTGTGTACAATTCTGAATTGAAGTGTGCTATAATTGTAAAATGAACATTGACTTTCAAAATCTCAATTTTTAAAGATTCATTACCTATGGTAAATAACATGGACATATTTGGTTAATGAAATGTTTAATTAAAATTTGTTTCACCTGTTCCCTTTGACTTAGTAATATGGTTACTAGAAAATTTAAAATTATATGTGTGCGTTGCACTGTATTTGTTTTGGACAGTGTTTGTCTACACTATTATCTGATTTGGGGTCTAGAGCATTTCTTCCATTTCTTCCTACACTGGTATTAATGTTATGTGAAAACAATTAAGCAATAGGTGGATATATACTTTTAATCTTAGTTTGAGAAGCTACCTGCCCAGCACACAACTGTTATTACTAAACATAGACAAAAAAGCAGTTCAGTAATATATCCATGTAGTGGTGATCACTTGTTTCAAGTTGGTTAATTCTCTAAACTTTATAATTTTCTTTAGATTCTAAAGTAAAGGTGAATTAAAACCTTTTAGGCATTCAGTTACGTAGGATGTATATACTTGAGTTTGTCTTGAGTTAATGTTTCAAAAAATATGAATTGGGAAGTTAAGGCAAAACTCACTCCTATGATTCAACAATAAAGAGAGAGCCTTTTCAGTCCCATGCTACCTCTGTGAGTCTTGCAGAAGATGCTCTTTGAAGAAAATGGGTTAAGTGGAAACACTTTTGTAGAATGATTCAATCTTTAACTTTTTCCTCAAGAGGGTGCTGTACAAACTTGAGAATAATTTGATACACTGGGTAATGTGATATTTTAGACTAATCACTGACCACATAAGTGTATTAGTTCAACATGCGTTAATTCAGAGCCTACTGTGTGCCTAGCTTCTGCTCAGCCTTGGAGATAAAGCAGCAAACTGATGGAGACAAGAAATGACAAAACAGGTAATGATAATTTTAAGACAGGTGAAATAGGGAAATAAATATTTGGATGATCAGTTCAAGTAAAGAAATTAGCTCAAACTCCTAAAACAACATGATGTAATAGCTGATAATTAAAGGTGATAGTGTTTCCATACAGAGCAAAGGAAAAAAGGAGATGATGATTAGCAATTGGGAAGAGTTTCAATGTTCAATTTAAATCGTTACTTAGTTTTTTGATTGGTACTCTATTTCATGTGGTTCTGTTTTTCAGGTGTCTAGCTTTTAATGGGGGTGGACAGGATGCACTGTGTTCAAAGGGATAAGGTAAAAGAAGTGGAGAATACCACCCATGAGTGTTAATCTTGGCATGAGTGTATAGGCAATTTTATTAAACTGCTCAAGTAGTACCTTTTAACTGTTTTATTACGTGTTATTATAATTCACAGTATAACTCTAGAAATCTCCTAGCTGTTGAGATCTTAATGAAACATATTTCAACCGCTCTCATTCATGATTGTTGGTGAACTTGTTTGACCTTTAACTGACCCAAATAGATTTCATTGGTGCCTAAGACTAGATCAGCAATTCTCCAGATTTAGATTTTGGAGTCTTAGCTCTGTGTTACTAAATGAGAAACATGACGGTATTTAACAAAAATACAACACTTTAGACTGGGTTGGGATAAATAAAGTTTTTAAGATAAATTGATTTTATTGAGCTCCCCCCACACAAACACAACCTTGTTCTTAACAGTTTGATAAAATTTTACCTATTTTATCAGAGAGGCAATCTTGAAGTCTTTGGATTCATTAGTAAACCTAAGATACTAAGGTAAAAGCAGTGTACCAAGCCTGTGTTTTTAAGAGATTATTTCTTGATTAAATAATAATTTATACAGTTAATCAAAACAGAAATTTTTAAGCCATTAGAACTGTCTGCCTTGAATTGTGTTCTTTGCCTATTATGAATTACTACCTTTTTCATATTAGTTTCTGCTGTGGCTTTATCAGTCCTGGTTTAGGTGCTAACAGGGGGCTATGAAAATATACTTGAAATAAGGTAAGTTTCTCAGAAATTTGAAATAATGAATGAGCAAAATACATAAGCATGAAGTAAGCAAAATGTAGAATGGTTTAATACCAAAAAGAAAGGTATGTGGTGGTTGGTTGTTATTGCCTTACAGGGTAGAAAGTAAGTAGTCAAGAAAGACTTTATTACCTTGAAAGAGCAGAATTACTTTCTTTGTGTGCAAGACCCATGTGTGCAAGAATATTAGAATTCATGACTCTACCAAGAAATGTGTAAAAGGATTATGGAGGGGAGTGGACCTATTTAGAAGAACTGGAGTACAGTAGGAGGTAAAGATGGAAGTGTAGGGCCACCCTGGTGGCACAAGGGGTTCAATCTCAGCACCATGAAGCTATCAGCAGCCACTGCAGCACAAAGTTGATCCCCAGTCAGGGAGCTGCCTGGCCCCCACATGGCATAGCAGACCTCTCCTATCTTGCCAGCTGCTCCCTTCAGCAGTAGAACTGCCTGTATTTCAGTAGATCTGCCTGTTCGGCTCCCCACTCTCTCTCTGGTGAATCCTCTCACACCCTGCATCTCTGGCCTACACCCCAGCTCTTGTATGCATAAATAAATAAATCTTTTTTTAAAAAATGGAATGGTAGAATAGAGACACCTGAAATAGTGGGGGGGAGGGGTTTGTCTTTTTTTTTTTTTTTTAAGATTTTATTTTTGTGTTGAATAACTGGGATATAGACCAGAGGTGGAGGGGGGAGGTGAGAAGATTCACCAGAGAGAGTGGGGAGCAGACCAGGCAGATCTACTGAAGTATACTGCTGAGGGGAGCAGCAGGTGTAGCAGGGGAGGTCTGCTGAGCCTTGTGTAGGTTAGCTCCCTGACCAGGGATCGAACTCAAGCCAGCCTGGTAGAACCCTTAGGCCACCAGGGAGGCCCTGGAATGATGTTTCTTAAACTCTGGCTGCAAATCAGAAACACCTTGGGGGAGAAGGGATAGAGAAATTATACCCAAACCTGGGACCTAATCTAGAGAAGCTAAATTAGAATCTCATGGAGGGATCCAGGCTTTCGTTTTTTAAGTTGCCAAAATTGGTTAGGTTGGAGATACAGCCAGGATTAAGATAACCCCCCTCTAGAGTGCTGGAAAAATCACTAAAGATTTTGGACAAGGAAATGAGATGTAATTGGAGTTTCAGATAGATTAGTCTGACAGTATTCTGTGACAAAATGAAAAAGGCTGATCCTGGAAGTTAGTAGATATACTAAGCACCTGGACTAAACTATGATACTGTTGAGGTCAAAGGATGAATGCAAAAGATACTTTGAAGGAAATAATGATAAGACTAACATGGGATATGGGGGTGGAAAAATCGAAAGATCATTAACAGAAGTGGATATTTGAAGTACTAATACAGAGTCATGGGATATAACATAGCCACAGCAAATGTCCATAGAAGAGCAATTGCTGAGTTTTCCTTTTGCATTTGAGAAACCAGAACTTGGAGATTAAGTAACTAGTCCGTAGCATTTTACTACTATCTGTGATTGGAATTGAGCTCTTGTAGACTAAGCTATTTCACCAGGTTTGACCTATCATCTTGCAGTCTTTCTTCTGATATTTTTCAGTATACTTTGTCTCAGCATATCTAAAGCTAAATCCACCTTTTTCTCTCCCCATGTAAGTCATTGTTAAAATTACCGTTTTAGACTAATATTTATTTAAGTCAGTGGGAAATAATCATTTTATAGCTAATATAAAAGCACAATTATGTGGGGTTTTTGGTAGATAGATTTCCTTCCTCATTTGAATTGTTTTTCTGCTGTGGACATTCTTCATGTATTTATGGCAATAGGGCAAATGAGATTTGTTTATTTCTCTATGTCATCTCCCATAGGATTTCAGACTTGCTAGCTTTTCATTAGGAACTAAGGTTGTTTCCTGTTACATCAACTTGAAATCCTTCAGAATCTGACTCGTATACCTGTTACATCGCCCATTTTACTTTAACTGAGCTCTCGATTCTAGTCAGGTTTTAGCCTATTGATTCCTCTGAAACAACAAACTACATTCATTGCCACAGTCATTCATGCAGTAAACCTCATTTGATGCCAGGTATAGGAAATTACACACGTGGTCTCTACTTGTAAGGAACTTCGAATTTAGTGGTATACTGTGACTTGGCTTATGTGGTACTTCATGCCTAGAATACCTAGCTGTTTTCTTTCTCTTAAAAATCTGCATATTTCTCTAAGCTTAAATTTCACCTACTACTTAAAAGCCTCCTCTAGTTGTGCTTACCCTGTAGCTTTGATGCACATGCAATGGTGAATAAATATTTAGTGTAGTATGTGACATAGTAGATCCCAGATAAAAGGTTGAACTATATAGTTTTTGTCATTTTCTACTATGTTCCTGTTTTTCTCATTGTATAACTTCTCAGCAAGAGTATAAATTCTCCGATGGCGGGAACTTTGACATTTTTTCCTAATATTTAACAGTGCAAGGTACTTTATAAAGTGCTTGTGCTAAATTGAATATTATACTTTGTGACTTGAGATTTTGGGGGAGGGAGAGCAATGAGGACTGAAATCATTTCAGGTTGTTGAGTGTGTGATGTCAAAGGAGGGGGAGGTATCAGTTAGCATCAAATTAATATGATTCCAGGTTTCCTGTTACTACTTCCCCAGCGATTATTAATTAATGAAATGGGCTTATTCTTCTTCGTACCTTCTGGCTGATTTTTTCATGTGACTAATACTCCATGTCTTCATTTTTTAATCTCTAGTATGAAGTGTAACAGAACCGACTTTACCACCTGAAACTGCTGCTTCAAGTTCAGATCAGGCACGGAAAAAACCTCGAAGCAACCAACAAGACCAAAGAAGAGTACACTTAAGTTGAAGACACAACACTTGATCTGAAACAAGAAGTTTGTGCCTACTCAACAGCTTTGAAAGAGCACTTCCCAACGCTGCTAGTAGTCTTTGTTTTCTTCAGTGCTGTGCTGTGAGATTGCCCGGTGCAGCAGCAGTTGTATTCTTTATTAGCTTGCTAGATCATTTTCTCTCGCTCTTTTTTTTTTTTTTTTTTAATACTAGCAACTTTCATCCTTTGAAACGTGTGCTGAAAAAGAAGAATCAGCAAATACTACTGAAAGTGCAATATTTGATTATCACTGCGAGGTAGGTTTCTAGTTTCCTTTGGCAAGAATCAGTTTATAATTCTGGGCTTTTAATCATTTGGTCAAATATAAAATTGCTTTATCTAAAAGTATTCTGGAAATTTTATTCCTCACCATTTAGTCTGAAAATATCAACAGTAGATTGTTTTAATTTGTCTTGTTAGATGAAGACATTAATGGCCAAAATTACAGGATTTTTCATACAAGATTATGTTAATACATGCTGATATCTTTTGATTCATTGGTCTTTAGAAAGAAAAACTATCCACTGTTTGAGATGTTAGGGTTTAAGGGAATCCTCTGTGCATTCTTTGTTCTGTGGGGGGTCTTTGTGATCTAGGGTAAAAATCTATAGAGAAGATACATTTAGAGGTGGGTAGCACTTGAAGAGTGAGGAATCCTCTGGTGGAGGTATAGAGGTAACAGCAGTGAGCAGTTTCAGGGATATCTGAAAGCACACGATGTGTATTGAGTAGCCCACTGTGAATAGAGAAAAGAATACTGTTTTGTGGGGAAGAGTGATTAGAAAGGAGACTTAACTGGAGGCAGGTTATAAAGGGCTTACTATATTTGACTCTTTTCTGTAAGAAAGTTGTCAGATGTTTGTGAGTGTGGGCTTATGGCATTTTGTATTTAAATAGTAAGTGTAGGAAGATTTAAAAAAAAAAAAAGAACACTAGGGTATGGGCAGAGAAAGGGGTAGACATTGGGTATTTTGATGGTAGATGTGCTAGAACTTGGTGATCACAATGAAGCTGGAGCTACTTAGTCTATGCAATGGTCCAAACTTTGTTACTCATTGGAAACCTGTGTTACTCATCGGATAGGGAAGTTTAGATGTGTGACTTGCTGAAATGAAAATACATTATGGAAATCTATTGTGTTTATTAGATACTAATCTGAAGTTGAGAAAATATGCTGACATGCCATTTTCTAGAACTGTCTTAGAAAGAGGCTGCCTTTTCTAAATGATTCCCTTGTTAGTACAAGTGTATCAAGGAAAGGGGGGAAAGCAAATCAATTGAGATACAGTAAAAAAAATTACAAAGCAAAGATTAAAAAAAAATTCTCCCTATTGTGGTTGGGGAGAAGGAACAGAAGATATATTGGTAGACTTCTGGTCTTTGCTCTTTGCAGCTTTTTAGCACTTTGAATCTGACTCTTGCTAGAGAGAGTGGCATCCCCACAGCCTTCTGCTGCATTGAGCTTGTGTGGTACATTCTGAAGCTTGGTTCTTTTTCTCCAAGCCTACTGGACCCTGCCTAGCTTCCTGCCAAGAGGTGCCTTGGATTCAATAGATCCATCTGTTCTGCTCCCCACTCTGTGTTTCTGGTGAGTCCTCTCACCCCCTGCACCTCTGACCACCCCAGTTCTTCTATGCATAAATAAATAAAACTAAATCCTTTAAAAAAATAAAAATCTGAGTGTGGGTTCATACATTTCCATGCATTTTCCCAAGGTAATTTAGAAACCACTTAGGCCCTAACTTCACAATTGAGGAAAGAACCTGAAGAGAAAAGTGAGAAGCTGGGCTAACCAGGCCTTTTTGATTCTGATTCTCTGTTCTTCACGTATCTTTTGTTGATTCCTTGAATTGGAAATGAAGTTTAAATTTAACCAGAGGTTCTTTCCAGTTTTTCATTGTTTTTTTTAAAGATTTATTTATGCATACAGGAACTGGGGTGTAAGCCAGAGGTGCGGTGGTGGGGGGGCAGTGAGAGGATTCACCAGAGTCAGAGTGGGGAGCAGAACAGGTAGATTTACAGAAATACACTGGTGAGGAGAGCGACGAGTGGGGTGGGGAGGAGGCAGGCTCTGCTGCACCATGTGGGTCAGCTCCCAGGCCAGGGATCAAACTGCAGTGGCTGGCAATAGCTTGCTACCACTGTCTTTAACCCCTGCACCACCAGGGAGGTCCCAATTCTCCTTCTATTAAAGGTGGCAGAGGATTTACGTTGCTAATAACTTTCTAGTTTGAAAAATACATATGTGCAAAGTCTAAATCATGAGGTTGTGGATTTTTGTTTGTCATATTCACTGCTATATGAGTAGAGTCTAGAATAGTGTTGATAAATTGTAGGCACTCAGATGTTTAACATATAAGGCAGTGATTAAGATTGTGAGCCATGGAGTCAGAACTGCATCTTGTTCTCATTTACCATTTTTAGCTCTGTACTCTTAAAACATCTCCTAAGTACTTTCTCATCCATGAGCATTAAATTAGACTTTTCTGTTTTTTTGATACAATTGAAATTGTACCATAAATGTGTCATGTATTGTAGCACATTTCATACTTGCATTCTCTCTAGTGACTGTATAGCATAAGTTACTGCAACTTCTCCAGCGTTAGACGAGCATTTCCAGAAATTCGTTATTATTAAAACATTTCAGTGAATCTATTTGTAAATAAAGTCTTGTCCATTTCACATTTCCCCAGGATTTTTCTGCAGTGAAATAACTAAGGAAAATACCTCCACATTTTGTTGCTAAACTGCATTTCAGAAAGGTTACAACAGTTTACAACCATAAAAGTATATGAGCGCGTTATTCTTAGTCTACTTTCTAGATGGATTTTAATCTTTTGTCTTTGGTAGTTTGATAAGTGAATTATTTGCTTTATATACATTTTTGTTGCCAAATTGAAGGGTTTTTCTATGTTTTGTGTTTAATTTTTTGAACACTGTGTGTACTATTTAATCATCTTCAAGGCTGACTTTGTTTATATAATGTATTTCATCAATTCAACAAATAAGTGTCATAATGTGTCAAGCACTTTTTCTAGACTCTAGGAATTTAGCTTTGAGTAAAAGTCCCTGTATGCATGGAGTTTATATTTTGGTAGTTTAATTCTTAACGATTTGCTTAAATTCTTTAATAATACACTGATACAATTTTATTTGCTACTCCCCTCCTTAGATAATAAGTATAAAAGCTTGTACTTTTTGTATAATCAAATATCAGTCCTTTCCCTAGCAGTTTTTTCTTTTAATCTTAACCTAGGATATTCTCATTCCAAAAATTTTATGAATATACAGCTTTTTATTTATTTATTTTTGCATAGAAGAACTGGGGTGCAGACCAGAGGTATTGGGAGGGGGGTGAGAGGATTCACCAGAGACAAAGTGGGGAACAGAACAGGCGGATTGACTGAAATACACTGCTGAGGAGAGCAGAGGACGAGTCAGGAGAGTCTGCTGCTCCATGTGGGTTGCTCCCTGGCCAGCCGGGGATCCAACTTGTGCCACAGTGGCTGCGGATAGCTTCATAGGTTGCATCTTAACCCCTTGCACCACCAGGGAGGCCCAGCTTTCTATTACTTAATTGCATTTCTACTTTAATGCAATGGTTCTGTTTTTACGTGAACTTCCATTCTTTTTTAGTGATACTTTAAAGTGTCTTGGTGATGCTGTTTAAGAAGTTATTCACAATGTCATAGAAATATAGTTTAAATAAATAATTAGGAATTCTTCAAAGGGAAAGGTATTAACATTCATTTTCTCTAAAGTTGCTTGAGTGACTTCTTTTTCCCTGTTTAAAAAAAATCCAAATGGCTAAAGGCTAGAGAAAAAAATTAAGTTAGGAAAGATTCTAGAGGGCAAAACGTCTTTTTCAGTTCTATTTTGATGTGCACTTAAGAGATGAGATGAGAATCAATAGCAGTACCAATCACCTAAATTCCAGCACCCTTTTTAGGGAAACTAAAGTCTTTCTAGGAAATTATAGCTCTAATCCCTTCTGATACTGGTTTATTTTCCCTTAAAATGAGAAAAAAAAGAATCTTACCTCCTACCTGTAAGAATGTGTGATAGGGGCCTCCCCGGTGGTGCAGCGGTTGAGCGCTGGGTTGCGAAGCTGCCCGCGGCCTCTGCGGCACCGGTTCGATCCCCGGCTGCTCCCTGCCACCAGAGGAGGGTCCCACGTGGTGCGCAGACCTCTCCTGCCGCCCGCTGCTCCCCTCAGCAGTGTACTTTGGTCCTTCTGCCTGCTCTGCTCCCCGCTCTGGTTCTGGTGAATTCTCTCACCCTCCCGTGCTTCTGACTGTACCAGTGCATGTATAAACAAAATAAACAAACAAACAAATAAATAAAACATGCCTCTATAAAAAAAAAAAAAAAAAAGAATGTGTGATAGGACTAGTCTTGAGAATGTGGTTTTTGCAGCTTCCTAGCCTATATATCACAACTCATTGTGTTCTTACTTGAAGGACTAGTGGCTGAGCATGAAGGAAATATAACTTGAAACTCATAATCTAAGTCAGTGATCAAAGCAAGTGATTATGAAGTTAATTTCATAATTAACAAACATAATTTCATAATGTTTGTCAGTAGAAGCTTCTATAGTCAACAATATGTGTTCATATGACTGCATTGTAAAATGTGGTCGTGCAAATAGAGCACAAAAATGAAATAAGCAATACTATAAAGATAGCATGGATTAGTATCTGAGGGACAGCTTACTTATAGTGAATTTTGTTATTTGTGTGGTCTGTGTCGTAGTCTTGATCTTAAGTTTTGGCAGACTTGTTGGATCTTATTAGATGGTCACTAACTTCCTAAAGGGGAGGTTAAAGAACTAGGATTTAGAAGTATCAACTTTCATACTCTTCATCTGTGATCACCTTATTCACAGGAATCTTTTAACCATTTGTCTATCTGTGAGACAGTTTAGTTAAACTGGATAGTTAGATTTGTGGGTCCACTTCATTGGGACAGTGTAAATAACACGCTAAAAACAAATGAAGTATAGCTTCACTACTAACTCTTGTGGAGTTTTCCACTCTTATTTTAGAATACATGAGTAATCTATGAGCCATGAGTATTTCTAAAAGCTAGTATTTGTCAGAGTAAAGATTTTATGTATATAATGCATATATATTATATATATAAGAAAGTTTAATGTTTTCTTCCTTAAATCCATTAAATACTCTTTTGTTCCCTACTTTAGAGAGACAAGTAATTGAGAATATTGGATTCTGTTTAAAGTTGTGGGATATGTAGAGGAAACTGGGCTGAATTACCTCACTAGCAGCCACCAAAGAGTGTCCTTATGGTATTTTCAAAATTATAAATATTATGGATAGGGATTATATTAGGGCTTTTAGAAGTACATTTTGGTTTCATCTTTTAAGTTAATGCCATTATCTATTTGTCCATAGTATTCTGATTAAAATTGTATCTTGCTAAAGTAACCTAATGGTAAATTTATAAAGATGTAGATTGACTGTCAAATGTGTATAAATTGTTATTGATTATAGTTGTAAACATTGTGCTATGTTATCACAGCTGTTTGAGAATGGAGAACGTTTTTACTGTGTCATCAGATCCTCATCCCCCTCCTGCAGCCCCTCCTTCTCTTTCTTTACCTTTATCTTCATCTTCTACCTCATCTGGGACTAAAAAACAAAAGCGGACCCCCACATATCAGAGATCTGTAAGTCAGGGAAGCAGTCATGCCAGCTTATTTTGCTTTGTTTTAAGAGCATGGTGTGGGAAGGCAACTTTGATTGACATAACCTGTAGATTTACTTTCTAACTTCCCTAAGCATTTCTCTTCACGTTGGCTCTTGAGAGATAAGTTTAGTAGGTCAGGACCTTGCTACTTAAAGTGTGTCCAAGAATCAAAAGCTTTAGTATCACTTTGGGAGCTTGTTAGAAAATCTCAAACCCCTGCCCACACTGAATCAAGATAATGTGTTTTAACTAGATTGCCAGGTAACTTTTAGTTTAAGTGCGAGGTATAGTCCGGCTTATAGAGGTAATAGGCCTTTCTAATTTTAATCCTCTACCATTTGACTTTGGCAAGTCATTTAACCTCTCTGTATCTGTTTCCTCATTGGTTATATGGGCGTATTGCTTTTGGGGGGGGGTGATTTGCAAAAAATTAATACATGTCAAACACAAAACTCTAGAATTAGAATTTAACTACTGCAGGTGTGATGACTTAAATTTGCTGGATTTGACCATCCTACACATTAACTACTCATACTTGAGTTTATTTTCCTACAAATTTGTTTTTTTCCCCTAATGAAAACAGTTTTTATTGATGCCCACATTGCATTTAAACAAAAGTGCTTCTAAATCAAATTTTTAATGAAAAGGTCTAAAAATAGTTGTAAAGATATGGATATGTTGCTCCAGGATAAAATGTATAAGGTTGCTCCAGGATAAAATGTATAAGGCATAAGTAATCAGATTACAGACCTAAATTTTGCTAGGGATTTTTTTTCAGTTTTGTGCTTCACTTAATAAAATAATTTGTTTTTATATATTTCTCAAACATGATAAAATGAAATATCCGTGTGATGGACAGTGTTTGATGAGCTAAAGAGCTTACATTCCATTACATTTAAGTAGATAATATGAAAATGTTTTATCTGATTACAGAAACAGGACAGTAGTAAGAGATTTCTCATTGTATTTGAAACACAGGTGAAGAATTCTTTAAATGTATCTATGAAATGATTGAACATTTTTTAAAATAAGTAGCATTTGCTTTCTTGGAGTTTTGTCTTAAACTCTTGGGTTCTATTTTGGGTTCTATTGAAGGCCCTAAGCATGCCTAACTCTGATATTTTCTAGTTTGAAGTAAGTGTTGCATCAAAAGTTTTACTGTGTTAATCTCTACTAACCTAACTGTGTGCCTTCAAGATGCATGGCTTATCAAATAGTTACAAGGTTTCTGTAATTTTGAGTTTTAGTAGGTGTTAAATATCATAGAGTCTTGGATGTTTAGGTTGCCATCTCTTAAATATTACTTTTGTTCTAAAATTGTTGTTTTAGTAATTTAAAGTTACATGAAGGCAGCTTTAACTTAGTTACTTTACCTTAATAGTAAACTCTAGAAAATGGTAAGTGAAAATTCTACCATAAGTGGGAGCAGTTCCCCCAAAGAATTGAAATTATTTCCTCTGAAATGTTTTATTAGGTAAATTAACATTTCAGTAATAAAAACACATCATCTTCTCCTTACTTATTACATTTTTTTTTTTTTTTTGCTTTTTATAGTAAAGAATTAGTGATTTATTAATCAGACCTAGTATGTTGTGGAGATAATGTACATATCTGTATATATTGAGTTCTTTTTCTTTTCAAAACAGATGAGCTTTGATCCAAACCTTCTCCACAACAATGGACACAATGGGTACCCCAATGGTACTTCAGCAGCACTGCGTGAAACTGGGGTTATTGAAAAACTGCTAACCTCTTATGGATTTATTCAGTGTTCAGAACGTCAAGCTAGACTTTTCTTCCACTGTTCACAGTATAATGGCAACCTGCAGGACTTAAAAGTAGGAGGTAATCTGTCCATTCTCCCTTTTTAAAAAGTAATCACAAATTTCTCTTCCATATCAACATGCTTATGAGAATGTTCATAGTTTGACCTATTAACCTGCAGGATAAAATGTATAAGGTAATCGGTTGGGTTTTTTATTTTTTTAAGTAATCACAAGGTTCTTTTGCATAGCAGCTTATTTTTGAGAGTTATAGTTTGGTTTTTAAATTGTACCAATTATTGAAGTGTGTCTGTATAATCCTGATTGCTATTGTGGTGTTATCTGAGAGGTAAAAGACTGATGAAAGGATATCTGGAAATTTTTTTTTTTTTTCGTAGATACTTGAATGATTTTTATTCCCCTTATACTATTTAGCTACGTATGAGATTTTTAAGTCTATGAAAATATTAAGCTTAGGTAATGGTATTTTACCAGGTACTATTTCTAGTAATGCCTGGGGAAAAAAAACTTCAATGGTCACCAGCTTGGACTATATGAAAATTTATCTTGGTTGACACTGTAGAAATTACTTTCAATTATGAATATGTCTTATTAAAGGTCTGAAGTTTCAAGGTCTCCATACACTTTTTTTTTTTTTTTTTTTTTTAATTTAAAGCACTGTTTGAGAAAAAAAAGTTAAACAGTAAGCATGAGTATTTGGTGTACCAAATACTCTAAGGCCTAAGAGCATTGTTTTTATTTGTCCTATTTTTTGGAAGTGAGGAAACAGGTTACAGAGAGGTTAAGAAGAAGAAAAAACTTGCCAAAGGTGGTTGTTCTTATATTGCCTCATTTACGGTATGTGTAAATGTCACGAAAACGAAGGTTAAGATATGGCTGTCTTAGGCTTAAGCACTGGTTGTGACATGTTAGTGTGTATCAGAATTTCCTGGAAAGCTTGTTAAAACACAGATTGCTGTATCCAAGCCTCAGAGTTTGTCTTTGTATATTTCTAAAGTGGGGGCCAACAATTTGCATTTCTACTAAGCTCCCAGATGATGATACTGCTGCTGCTCCATCCAGGGACTGCACTTTTGAGAAGTACTGATCTAAGGCAATTCAAATGCTACGTTAAGTTTAGCTTGAAAGTGAGATACCATTTTGCCAAAATTAGTCCAACAAAGAACACTTTCTTTATTTTAGATGATGTTGAATTTGAAGTATCATCTGACCGGCGGACTGGGAAACCCATTGCTGTTAAACTGGTGAAGATAAAAACAGAAATCCTCCCTGAAGAACGAATTAATGGACAAGTTAGTGACTTTAATGCTTTGTGTTTTCTTAGGGCCCTGCATTTGCATATCTTTCACATCAGAAAGGGAAGATTCTCCCCATCTCCTCAGTTTGCACGCAAGAGAGCTGTAGTATATAAAGATTACTATTTTAAAAGTATATCAGAAGCACTGGCATTTCTTGACCTAAATAAAAATGTGGTCAAGATATTTTTACATATAACCCTAAGCCTAGACTTGCAGTCAGTTTGTGTACTGTAAGTTTGAAACTTGGCAGCATGACATCCTCTTGTGGATCATATTAAAATGCATCCCTATGTATAGTATAGAGGATATTAAAATTCAGTTTATATTGCACAGTGCTACTCCTGAAATGATTAGCAATGGAAATTTTTTTTTTTTTGACTGGTAGGTTGTGTGCGCTGTTCCTCACAACTTAGAGAGTAAATCTCCAGCTGCCCCGGGTCAGAGTCCAACAGGGAGTGTATGCTACGAACGTAATGGGGTAAACTTGTGTATTTTTCTTAAACCTTTGCCTGATCCACCATGTGATCTATAAGCGTACTTTAAAATTCAGAATAGAAAACGTAAGCTGCAGTTGATAAAAATCAGTTTTAAATTTGATTTCTAAGAAACTTTGAGTGCAGCATAATCAAAAAAAAGGAAAAAATCCATAGGACTTCCAAGTGTCTTAGCTTACCCAAGTGTGACCTTAGTTAGAACATTAAGGTAAAATGCTCCTTTTGCTCACTTTTTTGGGGGTTGTGGGCAGGGGGATCCTTTTTCTGGTTCTTTTTAAGCACTAACTCCAGCCTTTTTGTTTGGAATGCCTTATATAAAAATTGGTGGGTTTTTTTTTGAAATGTAACTACAGTCTCTGGGCAAATGCTTCCACGTGTGTAAGCTTTTTGAAGTTGGATTGCTGCTCAGCTGTGGGCTCACAGAAGTCATCAGCATCATGGAGGGAAAGTGTGTGTTTTATGAATTAAACAGCCTACTTGTCATAAAACATTTAATTTTAAGAAATTTGGCTAAAAATACCAGTTTGAGGTATTTAAGTAAGTAAATCACAGTATACAGTGAACAAGCATCCTGCCAATATAATAATAATAACTTGTTAATTCACAGGAAGTGTTTTATCTGACTTACACCCCTGAAGATGTTGAAGGGAACGTTCAGCTGGAAACTGGAGATAAAATAAACTTTGTAATTGATAACAATAAACAGTAAGTTCTTTTTTCCCTCATCTTTGTCATTTTTTTTTAAATAAGACATTTAAAGCAAGTTAAAAGTCTTAACTTACAAATTTGGGTGATCTTTTAATCTACTCATTAGTAATTTTCATAATCTTTTAAACTGTTCAAAGTATTTGCAAGTCTGTCCTGTGGTAGAAACGATGTAGGGTGTCAGAAATGGGAAACAAGATAATTAAAATAGGCAGAACTTTTAAGGCACTGTCCTAGAGGTCAGTGAAGATTTTGTGAAAACAGTAGTGCTTGAAGTAAACATTGAGGAGAGGGTGTGTGTCATTAGGAAATTGAGAAAAAATTAGCATTCTGGGCATAGGAAGTAATCATTTGGGGGAGATGGCTGAAATTTAACTTGTTGAATTGCCTAAGTCCAAAGTAAGGTGAGGTTTGAGCTTTATCCCATGGTCATCGGAATCTTTGAAGGATTGTAAATGGAGTGTGTTTGCTATAGATTGTTGAATGTAGTAGTGATGGTAGATTTTTGGATCATGAGAGATGCTCTAAACTAGACACAGGGATATGAGAGTTAATATGAGAAAGGTGAGGGCCCAGTAAAGATAGGCAAAGGTGGTCAGGTGGAGAAGTCCAGTCACATTGAGAAAATAAGATCATTGAGTTTAACAAATAGAGGTATGTATTGGATTTAAAGAAAGGACAGTCCTACAGATCATGTTTCTGGCTTGGACTGCTAGGTAGATGAATGATACCTTTAACTAGAATAGGGAGATAATAGGAAAAGGTATTAAAGGTTGGAAAAAATTACACTTTTATTTTGTAATTTGAGTTTGAGGTGTCTGTGGGTATAGCTGGGTGGAGATCTGAATATGTCAGTACATGTATAGATCTGAGATAGGCTAGTTATAGGCAAGAGAATACAGTTCTGAGATTCATCAGTATAAACAGTTAAGGATAATAGAGTGATGAAAATCCCAGGGATAATTGTTTTTTTTTTTTTTTTTTTTTTTTTTAAAGATTTATTTTTTTTTATTTTTATTTATACATGCACTGGGTATAGTCAGAAGCGCGGGAGGGTGAGAGAATTCACCAGAGCCAGAGCGGGGAGCAGAGCAGGCAGAAGGACCGAAGCACACTGCTGAGGGGAGCAGCGGGCGGTAGGAGAGGTCTGCGCGCCATGTGGGACCCTCCTCCGGTGGCCGGGGAGCAGCCGGGGATCGAACTGGCGCTGCAGAGGCTGCGGGCAGCTTCGCAACCCAGCGCTCAACCGCTGAGCCACTGGGGAGGCCCCTGTTTTTATTTTTGATTAGATGAGATGAGTAAAGAAGTAAAACACAGACTATGGAGAAAGTGATAATGTATTTTTTTAAAGATTGATTTATGTATGCATGCAAGAGCTGGGGTACAGGCCAGAGGTGTGGGGAGTGAGAGGATTCACCAGAGACAGAGCAGGGAACAGAACAGGCAGATTGACCAAGTACACTGCTGAGGGGAGCAGCGGGCGAGTCAGGAGAGGTCTGTTGCGCCATGTGAGTAGCTCCCTGGCTGGCTGGGGATCAAATTCATACTGCAGAGGCTGTGGATTGCTTCATAGGTTGTATCTTAACCCCTTGTGCCACCAGGGAGGCCTGATAATGTATTTTCAACTGTATAAGGGGAAAAAAGATTCCAAGAGCATGTGCCAACTTAATATCTTTGAGCCTTGACTCTTGTAAGACTAGAAGAAATCAGACTTGAGTTCTGAGTATGGGTTTTAGTAATTCCAGTATGAAGACCTGACTTTAATCTCAGATAGGAAACAAGCAAGGCTTAAGTTTGAGGAGCAGGGTCATGAGGAGAGGGGTTATTCTTTATTAAATTCTTGTATGAGCCACCACTTGTATTAAACACTGTGGTGTTAATCCTCAAAGCAGCCTCACCTAGTGAATATCAATTGTAAAATACCGTTTATTCTCACAAAATAGCCTAAAATTGTGTAACATTTAAGTAGAAGTCACTTAAATTTCAATGTGGCTCTATAATCTTTTCACTACAATAAGATTTATTTATGCATACAAGAACTGGAGCACAGGCCAGAGGCGTGGGGGTGAGAGGACTTACCAGAGACAAAGTGGGGAACAGAATAGCAGATTTACTGAAACACATTGCCGAGGGGAGCAGCAGGAGAGCCAGGAGAGGTCCGCCACACCATGTGGGTAGCTCCCTGGCCGGGGACTGAACCCGTGCTGCGCAGCTGCGGAGACCTTCACAGGCTGCGTCTCCACCCCTTGTACTACCAGGGAGGCCCCAAGTCTGTAAAATTTTTAATAAAAAGCATGGTCACATTACAGTTTGTCCATGTGGTATTAAGGAAAATAATTGCTTGATGTACAACTCTCCTTAAAACTACTACTACACCAACAAATAGTATTGTGTCTTTTCTAGTGAGTACCATCTTAAAAACAAAGTCAAATTTACATTGCAGTTCAAAGATAGACACAGTATATAGTAGCATGCAATATCTCTGGTTTTAATGAAAGTGAATGTCATTGTTTTTTAAAATATAGCAAATTTCTCTTATGATCACTGCATTTACTTAATTTTTATGGCCATTTAATTAGTAATAATGATAAGCTACTAAGTTTAGCACTTATTGCAAATAGGGGCCATCTCTTATCTCTATCCCCAATTTATTTGCTGTATACATAATACCTATTCAAATGTTTATTCACCAAAAGACTTTTCTAAACCTTGAGTATTCCCCAACTTTGGTTGTATCCAATTTGTGGCTTTATTTATTTATTTTTTTTAAAGATTGATTTATTTATACAAGAACCGGGGTACAGGCCAGATACACGGGAGGGTGAGAGGATTCACCAGAGACAGATTGGGGAACAGAACAGGCAGACTGACGAAATACACTGCTGAGGGGAGCAGCAGGTGCGACAGGAGAGGTCTGCGCGCCATGTGGGACTCTCACAGGCCGGCCAGGATTGAACCGGCACTGCAGAGACTGCTGACAACTTCACAGCGCAGCGCTCAACCGCCTGCGCCACCAGGGCGGTTGAATGTTGCGTGCCCTTAAAAATATTTTAGCAGTCCAAGAGAAAAGTTATACATGTGTAACCAATTTAGAAGACAGGGGAATTTGAGCAAAAGTCTTTTGCATATAAAGCCATATGAGGGCCTCCCTGGTGGCGCAAGGGGTTAAGACACTACCTATGAAGCTATCCACAGCCCCTGCAGCACAAGTTCGATCCCCCTCCAGGGAGCCACCCATATGGTACAGCAGACCTCTCCTGACTTGCCCGTGGCTCACCTCAGCAGTGTATTTCAGTAGATCTGCCTGTTCTGCTCCCCATTCTGTCTCTGGTGAATCCTCTCACCCCCACATCTCTGGCCTGTACCCCAGTTCTTATATGCATAAATAAATAAATCTTTTTAAAAAGGATAATATTGATAAATTCTTGAAGCTCCAGAAAACTAGTATTTCTCTCTTAACTCAGCAGTATCTAACCAAGCCAATGCACTTTTTTTTTTTTTTACCACCCCCCCCCCCACCCCTGCCCGATTATTTTTTGTAGTACTGGTGCTGTAAGTGCTCGTAACATTATGCTGTTGAAAAAGAAACAAGCCCGCTGTCAGGGAGTAGTTTGTGCCATGAAGGTAAGTATCATTAAATATGAGAAATTTGGGGTTTTTCCTTGACTATTTTAAGTCTTACACTTCAAACCCTGACTTTCGTTTTTCATTCTTCCCTTAAAAATAGTTCCAATATTTCCCTGTTAAACTCCAAATTAAAATTTCTAAGTTACTTAAATTGATTTTCTTTAAAATGGGCCATTTCACTGATACATACTTTACCAAATATATTGCCCCCACCAAAGTACAATTTTATGAGAATTGTTGCAAATTGCCATAAATTGTACAGTGAATAATACTTAATGTTCAGGGTTTTTTGTTGTTGTTTGTTTGTTTTTTGGCTTTAGGAGGCGTTTGGCTTTATTGAAAGAGGTGATGTTGTAAAAGAGATATTCTTTCACTATAGTGAATTTAAAGGTGACTTAGAAGCCTTACAGCCTGGAGATGACGTAGAATTCACAATCAAGGACAGAAATGTAAGCTGGTTGACTGACTTATGTTTGGCCTTTTAAGAATCAACAGTGAATTACATTTGTAGGAAACACTTAAAAAATTTCCCCTTACACGCCCTTCTGACTTAGGGTAAAGAAGTTGCAACGGATGTCAGACTATTGCCTCAAGGAACAGTCATCTTTGAAGACATCAGCATTGAACATTTTGAAGGAACTGTAACCAAAGTTATCCCCAAAGTACCCAGTAAAAACCAGGTAAACAGTCGTTCTCATGAGTTGTCTTTTGCCTCGTTAGTAATATACCAATATGGTGTGGTTTGCAGAAGTTTTACTCCATTTGATTAATGTAATTATGTTATACTAGAACAATGAAATATTTAATGTGTACAATTAAAGGAGAAATCACTGATTAATGCATCCATGAATTTTTAAAAAATTGGATGGTGATATAGAAGATATAGAACTAAAAATGCTAGTAAAATTGGACAAACCACGTTGACTGCCATTCGGGTGTGTATTTCTCTCATGTGTTCCTTTGGTGGGGATGTGTGGAGATGAGTGCAGTGGTGTCATTGCTAAGGATATGTAAAACATAGAAAAGTGAATTTTTACCTCTTAAATATATCTCAATATATGAGCGGTGCAGGATTAAGCAGTGTTGTGACTTAATGGTTGTATTGTGTCACCATAGAATGTGCAGCTTTCAAATTGGACTTTATGATGCCAACCCCATTTTTTCCTTCAGGGAAATGTCTTTTTATAAATAACATGGGCTTGCTGTGCATTCTTCATGTTTGAATTAGAACTAAGAAGGGGAGAAATACTCAGCTAAAAGTTTTTCCTTCTCATCAGAATGACCCATTGCCAGGACGCATCAAAGTTGACTTTGTGATTCCTAAAGAACTTCCCTTTGGAGACAAAGATACGAAATCCAAGGTGACCCTGCTGGAAGGAGACCATGTTAGGTTTAATATTTCAACAGACCGACGTGACAAATTAGAACGAGCAACCAACATAGAAGTTCTATCAAATACATTTCAGTTCACTAATGAAGCCAGAGAAATGGTAAGTGCTGGATATTAGATTTGAGGGTGGGGAGTCGATATTGACTATAAGTTTGTAAAACTGTATTGAAAATTCTTTTACGTTGACGACAGTATTGGGCATTTACCTTTGAACACAAACATTTCCGCATTCCACTTTGGCATCTAATTCTGCTAGTTACCTTGATAAAGATGTGGAAGTTTTAGAATGAAAAACTAAACAGGATAATTTCTGAGGTCTTTTGAGAATTAGCGAGTCTCTGATCCTTAAATATGAACACTTAGAAGATTCAAGTTCATCTTGTATCCAAAATAGATTGTCCCAAACTTTTTCCCTAAGATGTTTCAGTAGCCTCAAGTTTAAAAGGTTTTGTTTCTTTTATTTTACATTAGAATTTTGCTTATACCAGAATTGTTTTTCAAACATTTTATAAGCTGGGTTTTTTTACACGTAAGCTTTCTCAGGTGTAATTTATATATAGTTCTGTTTGGGCCCATAACATTTACAGTATATCTCAGCTTAAGATTTTTTTAACCTTTGCCTTATGGAGTACTGATTTTGTTTGGCGCTTGATTTGTTCTTTTAACTTAATAAATTTGGAGATCCAAATGTGTGATTTTTTTTTTTTTAAAGATTTATTTATGCATACAAGAACTGGGGTGTGGGCCAGAGTTGCGGAGGGGTGAGAGGATTCATCAGAGACAGAGTGGGGAACACAACAGGCAGACTGACTGAAATACACTGCTGAGGGGAACAGCGGGAGAGTCAAGAGAGGTCTGCTACGCCATGTGGGTAGCTTCCTGGCTGGCCGGGGATCAAACTCGTGCTGCAGAGGGTGCAGGATGCTTCATAGTGCTGCGTTTTAACATCTTGTGCCACCAGAGAGGCCCCAAATGTGTGATTTTAAAAATTTAAATTTCTCGCGCTGGATCTGTTTTGTTTGACAATATGAAATGCATTTTGGAGTAGCTTGACTACTATCAGTATTTAGCAAAGATTGTCAGAAATATTGTTTGGGCCATATTCAAAACTGCTTTTAAAATAATCTTTGCACTGTGGCAATGCAAGGTATGTCATTGATAGATTGATAATTTTATTTCAGTGAACACTTGCCATGTGCCAGCAACTATGCAGTCATTGGAAGATTGATAATGCTTTTGTTTCAGTAAATATCTGAATACCTACTATTTGCCAGTTACTCTGGATATAATGCCTTCACAGAACTGATAATTTAGTGAGGTAGGGCTAGAGGGATGAGGAAACAATTTTCTCACTAAAATACTCTTCTAACCTAAATTGAAATTTCTCCTTGTTTGCAAACTCACCTCAGATTTTTAGATACACTAGTAATGCCTTCATTAAGGTATCTGGATTATTGGTCTGTAGAGTTTTGAAACTTCTGGAAGGTTGCTAGTGTTACTGACAGCTCATTTGAAATTCTATTTTTTTTTTTTTTTTTTCACTTACTGTGTGCTTTGGACAAATTGTTTAACGCCTCTGTCTTAATTTCCTTGTCTTTTAAAAGAGGATACTACTACCAGGTTTGCAGAATTGAGAATGAAGTGAAAGAACATTGTGTATATGTGTTTATAGTACCATAAAACTTTTCCTAATCCATCTTGGCATCTCTGGGGTCTCAGACAATTGCTTAGAGGGTAATTTACTTTTGTCTAAAGCAGTGACTTCATATTTGCTAGAAAAATTAAAGTTTTGATAGAGAATTCAGGTCATTAATAGAATCCAATGAATTTAACTTGATGCTTTCAAACTTACTGTTGTCTTGACAAGCTTCACAGCCAGTGAAAATATTTATTTTACTTTCAGGGTGTGATTGCTGCCATGAGAGATGGTTTTGGTTTCATCAAGTGTGTGGATCGTGATGCTCGTATGTTCTTCCACTTCAGTGAAATTCTGGATGGAAACCAGCTCCATATTGCAGATGAGGTCGAATTTACTGTGGTTCCTGTGAGTAGTTCTTGAAAAAGTATTGGAAGGGATGGGGCAGGGGGAGGCCGAAACAATCATAAACTAAAAATCAAAATCAACAGGCAGCTATAAATTGGAGACATTCCGCAGGGGAGGAGGAGGGGGAAGAATCAAAATGGGTGGGAAGAGCACAAGGGACTGTGATGATGGTGAGTTGGTGGTGGGCATTCCACGGGGATTACGCCAGAGAGAAGAAGGCATACATTGTACAAGAACGATTTAAAATATATATATAATTTTTAAAAAATTAATTTAAAAAAGTATTGGGATTTCTTAATGTTTTTTTTTAGTTTTCAAGTTATTTTTGTTCATCATTTGTAGGATATGCTTTCTGCCCAAAGAAATCATGCTATTAGGATTAAAAAACTTGCAAAGGGCACGGTCTCATTCCATTCACATTCGGATCATCGTTTTCTGGGCACTGTAGAAAAAGAAGCCACTTTTTCCAATCCTAAAACCACTAGCCCAAATAAAGGCAAAGAAAAGGTAAGTTACACATGATCAAAAAATTTTTGAAGCTCTTTCTCTCAATGTTTAAAGGGCAGTTAATGCTCACACAATGACATAATAAAGGAGTTGCCCTTTCAGAATTCCCTGTGATATTAATCATGAACTAATGTAAAGCAAAATCTTTTATCCTCAGCATTGACATTTAAGACCGGATAATTCTTTCCTTTGGGTTGGGGTGGGGTAGGTGTTCTGCCCATTGCAGGAGGGTTTAGCAGCATCCCTGCCTTTTGCCCATTGGAGGTCAGTATCCCTCTTCCTCTACCCCCAACCCCCTACACCTACGTGACAGCCAAAAGTGTCTGCAGATAATGCCGTGTGTCTCAGTACCCCTAGATGAGAACAGCTCATCTGAAATGATAGTAATTAGCTCTTGAACAATGTGGTGGGTAGGGAGAGTGAGAGCACTGACCCTGAGCTGTGGAAAACTGAGTGCAACTTTAGTCAGCCCTGCATGTCCATGTATAAAGCGGACCCGCACAGTTTAAGCTAGTATTGCTCAAGGGTTAATTGGATTTGTCTTCCAATCAGTTTAAAAACTGTGCAGCTTTGGGTAGAAATAGTTCACTCATTCGGGGCCTCCCTTGTGGTGCAAGGGATTAATAAGCAACTTATGAAGCTATCCTCAGCCTCTGCAGCAGGAGTTCAATCCCCAGCTGGCCAGGGAACAACCCACATGGTGCAGCAGGCCTCTCCTGACTCACCTGCTGCTCCCCTCCACAGTGTGTTTCAGTCAGTCTGCCTGTTCTGCTACCCACTCTCTCTGGTGAATCCTCTGACCTCCCACACCTCTGGCCTGTACCCCAGTTCTAGTATGCATAAATAAATCTTTTTTAAAAAAAAAATAGTTCACTCATTCGAACTCCACTTACTGAAAAATTCACTGAGTGGGAAATAAAAAGATGTCTAAGATGGCTTCTGCTCTCAATTCATACAGAATATGTAAATGTTTTTATGAAAGGTCAACAAGCAAGCGCTGTCAAAAGTTCTACATTGGTGGGATCTGGGGGTAGTTTCGCTATTCACCTTCAATAGGTGAATATAAATGAGAGAAAGAACATTCCTCATAAAATATAGGTACAGATGAGAAAAATTAAGGATTTCTTTACAAAGCAGTAAGTGGTTAGACAGAGGGTAAGTTTGTGTTTTGTTGTTTTTGTGGCAGTGAATTGGGGGAACCTTGGTATGTTTTCTGTTGATTGTATAGCCATGGTCAAGTTTAACCTCCTCAGAGTAGCAATTTGTAAGATGAGGAATAAGGGTAATTGGAAATGGTTTTATTATAACATTAAATTTGATACTACAAAGCACCTAACATTGTCTTTTAAATTGTACATGTTCAGTGGATATTGTATAGCAGTAATAGGAGTATGAATGAAATGAATTGGTTTGAAATACACAGTAGTTGGTAGGGTGTTCTAGACTTTAGGAGTCATCTAGATTAGGGATGTGGGTATTAATTTCATACAATACTTGAAACCATTACAACAGTACATTATATAGTTACTATGCAATGTCATGGTTTACTGTAAAATTCTGTATATATAACCCAAAATTTGTTACACATTTGAAGAACTAATCTTTCTGGTATTTGTCACCAATTTAAGTGTTATTGTCAAAACATTGGAATATCATGGATTAATCCTCTGAGTAGCAGATGCTCTAAACTGCTAGATCTTGTAGAAAATTAAAATTTTCATGTATTGGTTAGTATATACATTATGTATGAAATAAGGGAGATACAAGAAAGGCAATACAGAAGCTACAGAATTTCCACCGGATTAAAGATAAATGCCCAGTTTGATTTCTGTTGGCTTTAAAAATTACACAATGGGCGTGTTATTTATTTTCAATAAACTTTCCTCTCAACTGCAAGAATTAGGTTCTTACAACTAAAAGTCTCAATTACAACAGATGGAACCTGCCCTAGGTAAGGCAAGACCTCCTCTCCCATATAAATAAAGTCTGTTACAGTTGGAGAACCCTGGAATAGGAATTTTCTACAGCTGTGCCAAGGCTCAAGGGTCTGCAAGGAGAGTACCTACTTACATTGCTTTTTGTTCTTTTCTTTGTGTGCTGCCTATATCTCTTTAGGAGGCTGAGGATGGCGTTATTGCTTATGATGATTGTGGGGTGAAATTGACTATTGCTTTTCAAGCCAAGGATGTGGAAGGATCTACTTCTCCTCAAATAGGAGATAAGGCAAGATAATTTTATTTATTTGAGAGAGGGAGGGTTAAAAGTTGTCATCTTAATCATGAATACTGCAAAATGATTTCTTCACATTTTACCAAGTTACTACAATTTGTGTTTATAGGTTTTAGTATATGAACATCCTCCTGTTTAAAATGAAGCCATTTATTCAATACAAGAAGTCTAGCAAATTCTTTGTTAAAGATTTTTGAGAACTGAGCATTTAAATATTAGCTATGTCTAAAACAATTAGATAAAATTAACATTGGGTAAAAAAAAAATTTTTAAGTCATTGAAATGTTATCAATAACAGAGACCTCACATTGCTGTTAGTTTTACTTCCACTTAGTGTATCTGTTTTTCTGATAGCCCTCCTTTAGAGAAAATTAAGAGATTCTTCCAGGAATCTACACTGGAAAACAAACTTGGATCCTTTAATGAAAAGTGGAATGATACATACAAATGTTAGTTTTGGTGAAAATTATTTCATTAGAGTATTTGCAAAGGATATTTGGAGTGGAAAATGTGGTCTAGTCAGAATTAGGCATGGTGTGAACATGCCGTGGTATTAATGAGCATCCTTATTTGTTACAGGTTGAATTTAGTATTAGTGACAAACAGAGGCCTGGTCAGCAGATTGCAACTTGTGTGCGGCTTTTAGGTCGTAATTCCAACTCAAAGAGGCTCTTGGGTTATGTGGCAACTCTGAAGGATAATTTTGGATTTATTGAAACAGCCAATCATGATAAGGAAATCTTTTTCCATTACAGGTGAGGAATACCTTTTAGGAAATAAGAGCTTACTTTTGATTGTTTATTTTCAGAATTAAAACATTTTCTATTGGGTGATGATATTATTTGAATCCCAAATTTCATTTTGTAAAATTCATGACAATACATAAATGAAAATTGCTCATCCATTTCCATGTAGAGAACATGAAGTCACGGGAAATAGAAGGACCTACAGGACCTACAGCTGCTTTGAATGTTAGATAGGCAACTTCCCACTTTAGTAAAAGTGGGAAGAGAGTTACCAGAGAGTGGTCCATTTGGTTTTGTAATAGAGCATAATGGTTGAGTACATGACCTCTCAGAACCAAACAGTTCAGATTTGAACTCATTTTAAACTTGAATCCAGCTCTGCCACTCACTGCATATGTAACTTACTAAATGAAATGAACCTCCTGGTATCTTAGTTTCATTATCTTGAAGCTTAGGATAATGATACCTCCTTATAGGGTGGAGGTATTATTAAGCAAGCACACCTTGAATGTTGCTATAGAAGAAATAAAGGGACCTCCCTGGTGGCACCAAGGGGTCAAGTCTCAGCACTACCAAGCTGTCGGCACCACTGCAGCACAAGTTCAATCCCTGGCCAGGGAGCTAACCAATGTGGTGCAGCAGACCTCTCCTGTCTCACCTGCTGCTCCCCACTGTCTCTGGTGAATCCCTCTCATCCCCCACACCTCTGGCCTATGTACCCATTCTCTTGTTTCCATAAATATTGAAAAAAAAAAAAAAAAAGAATAAAGGCTATTTACTACTGTTGATGTTCATGGTAATTGCTTATTCAAATATTTTCTTTCCCCTTAGTGAATTCTCTGGTGATGTTGATAGCCTGGAACTGGGAGACATGGTTGAGTACAGTTTGTCCAAAGGCAAAGGCAACAAAGTCAGTGCTGAAAAGGTGAACAAAACACACTCAGGTAATGAATTATGACTTGATCCAGCCTGTCTTTTGCAGGGAGATGGGGGATAGAAATGGAGAGGAGAAAAAAAAACTTTTTTCCTAAGTAATTCTTAAGGTGTGAGACTCTCCACACTTGATTGGCAGCATCTTCCTCTTTGTCAAAAATATGAGTTCTCTCTCTCTCTCTCTCTCTCTCTCTCTCTCTCTCTCTCTCTCACACACACACACACACACACACACACACCACCCCCCACTAAAACTAAGGATCATCTATTTTTAACAAATCCTTCAGGTGATACTGATGTGCACTGAAATTTAGGAGGCAAGGTCACAGATTTGCTTTATTTTTAATGCAATATCTTTTAAAAAATACATAACCTTTCAGATATAAATCTCTATGGGGCAGGAGAGAAAGGCATTACCCTTGAAGATTTCTATTTGAGAAAAATTAGTCTAAATGTGAAAAGTAATGGGAACTTTAAAAAAATTGTTGCTATTTAGGAACTCTGACTTTCATAGGCCCATCAGTAAACTCTCCAAGTAACACTTTATCTTGGAGAGACCTAGAGAAGTGACAGCCAGGAACATTCATTTCAATTCAGTAAATTGCTAGGTGCAAGCTAAGTTTTAGATACCAGGGCTACAGCAGTGAAGAAATCAAGCAGTTCTCTATCTTCATTGAGTTTATTTTTTAGTGGACAATATAGACAAACAAGATGAGCAAAATATTGTGAGTAGTATTTTTAAAAGGCAGTTAATACATATTCTTAAGATAATTCAGGGACGTATCTAAGTATTGGGGTTGCCATTTTAGAGACCAGAGAAAGCCTCATGAACAAGGTGGTATTTGGGGGGAGGCTCCCTGGTGGCCTAGGGGTTGGGTCTCAGTGCTGTCACCGCTAGGGCCTGAGTTCCATCTCCAGCCAGGGAGCTGACCCACATGGCACAGCAGACCTTTATCAACCACTGCTCCCCTTAGCAGTGTACTTTTGTAATATCTGCCTGTTCTGTTCCCCACTCTGTCTCTGGAATCCTCTCACCCCCACACCTCTGGCCTATACCCCAGTTCTACAAAAAAAAGGGGGGTGGTATCTGGTCACCTAGCTAGAAAAGCTGAAGAGAATAAGACATGTTTTAAATATGAATAGTTGTTACTTCCTGAAATAAATTTGTTTTAATGGTAGTTTAGAAATATATCAGGAATAGCCAGCAACCAACCAACCCTGTATTAACATATGTCCTAATAACTTGCTTTTATTCCTCCTGTAGTCTAGGGTTTAACTAGAACTGTTGATGAGAGGTATACATGCTTGTGTTTTTTAGTGAATGGCATTACTGAGGAAGCTGATCCCACCATCTACTCTGGTAAAGTCATTCGCCCCTTAAGGAGTGTTGATCCAACACAGACTGAGTACCAAGGAATGATTGAGATCGTGGAGGAAGGTAAGAGCATCACTTTAGATTGTTTGGTCTTCTTTTTACCTTTAGATTGCTTGTTGCATTTCTTTTGAGAGTCCTTAAAAAATAAATTAAAAGCAACTCTTCCCAAACCCCACTTCCATGTTTGCTTTTTACATCCCTTACATATCAGGTAAGCCTGGGTTTATGCTGTGAACAAATCACTGCTCTGTGAGCTTAGCACTGATAGATTAACAAACCACTCTTTAATGTATCATTTTTCCTTCCTGTAAAAGCTTCTTACTATGTTTCTTAATAACTAGGGTTCAGTGGAAGTCCTGCTACTTGTCTCCTGACCAATGCTACCTGTATTTTTCACTTCCTGCTTTTTCCCGCCATCTTGAATAATTCCCTGAGTCCTATTGCTACCCCCTCCCCTCAATAAGTACCACCAGAATGACCAATTTTGTGTGTAGAGTAAGTTGGCAGTAGAAACGGAAGGCATGGGTACTGGATCACTGGCATAGCAGAGTTACCATAAAGATGGATTGATGAGGGTTTGAACATACAATCGAAGATGATAGCTTGCTTACAGAGAGAAATCTTGTGTAGGAATCAGAGACAACATAAAGTCATTTGAGGAAAAAAAAGAAAATCTTGGTAACATGTTCCTTTACCACAGGAGATTCGTGGGGATTTGTGTTACATAGAAACATTGCTGCCACATACACACCTTCAAACATGACTTGACTTTGTTTATACCTAAACTAATGCCAAGCCGCCCGGCCACTCCCACCCACCCACCTGCCTTAGGAAAAGAGCCATGGGGTATGGGCTGTTAACTTGTAACTTACAGGGGAATAGCAGTTACCTTTCCTCCTCTCTGACATGGATTTTCTACCTCTTTCCTCTAACTCCTAGCCGTTTAACTCAAACTAGTAATTAGATATAGTCCAAAGATTTTGTGGAAAAGGGTAACTTCTGAAATGCACAAGCCTGATTTTTTTTTGCTAGAACTACACGAGTCACATTTCCCCCACTTAGTGAGGAAAACAGTTCTTTTATTTAGGAATGCAACTGTTAAATCAATATTAGGCCATGGGTTTTGCAGTTCTAGATCTAGACTTCAAATTACTTAAATCTTCCTTGCTGCATTTCCTTCATCTTTAACATATGGCTACTGTCTTCAACCTCAAAAGATATATAAAGATTAGATATGAATCAGTATAAGTTTAGTAAATGGTGGTTATTAATGCCTCTACATTAGACTTAATGTCTGGTTCTTCAGTGTGATTTGCTTGCTGGTAATGTCTCCTGTGTTTTGTTCGTGTATGTTTGTAAAGAAAACCTTCCCTTAACCCTGTGGTCATCAAGAAAATGATTTAAGTATTTTCCATTCTGAAGCTTTCACTTTGTGTTGATTGATGCAGTAGATTCACCATCCAGGCATCAGTGTCAACTGATAAGCAACTATCAGCCTGCACTGACTTCCAACCAACATTTTACTTGAGGACAGAGGTCAGCAAATATGTTGGCTGGATTTTTGTAGATACAGTTTTATTGAAAAACAGCCACAGCCATTTATTTACATACATTTTTTGGTTGCTTTCTCACTATAATAGTTGTGACATAGACAGTATGATGTACAGACCTAAAATGTTTGGCCCCTAAGGAAAAAGTGTGCTGAACCTGATCTAGAAAAAAAGGTGCCTATTTGAGAGAGCCACAGTCAAAATAAAGGAGGTGGCATTCCAAAGAAATTCATTTATATTGTTTTCACCTATGCCTGGCATATTTAATGCACAATTAGAGTCAGAAATATTTTTGACTGGCTCATATTGTGAATTTAGGAAGAAGACAATCCAGTGGATCAGAGCAGCCAACCCATAGTGCTTTAAATGCCAGAATATTTACATAGTGAGATTGTGAGTAATAATTATTTTTAAATTCGTAAGTGTGGTTTAAAACTTAATAGCTGGTAAGGTGATAATGTTCTACAAATTCTTATTTGTTTTCATGGTAGTATTTAACATTCATGATTTTATTGAATCTTTAAAATTGAAACTCTTAGGTTTCAAAAAGACTTAGGGAATAGAATCCATTTTTTGCAGCTTACTATTTTATTGGATCTGTCAGCAGAGGAATATTGTGAAATACTAGCTCTTAGACTTTATACCTATTTCTCCCTACAGGAGATATGAAAGGTGAAGTCTATCCATTTGGCATAGTTGGGATGGCCAACAAAGGGGATTGCCTGCAGAAAGGAGAGAGTGTCAAGTTTCAATTGTGTGTCCTGGGCCAAAATGCACAGACTATGGCCTATAACATCACACCCCTGCGTAGGGCCACAGTGGAGTGTGTGAAAGATCAGGTAAGTAGTAGTGTTTCTGGATCTGAATGTGATTCTATTGGTTTGATAATTGAATACTAGCCAAAATTTAAAATTTTTCAACCAAAATGAAACCATTAACATTCAGTCATTTGGGCTTTCATTTCTACTTTACTTTTCTCAGTGGTTTGAGATAGCATATAAAAATTTGAAGACCATTACCAGAGGGGGCCTCCCTGGTGGCTTACCGGTCAGGGCTATCACTGCTATCACTGCTGAGGCCAGAATTCCATCCCCAGCCAGGGAGCTAACCCACATATGCTGCATCAGACCTCTCCTGTCTCCCCACTTCTCTTCTCAGCAGTGGGTATTTCAGTAGATCCTCCTGTTTTGCTTCCCACTTCCTGTTCTGCTTCCCACTCTGTCTCTGAATCCTCTCACCCCCTGCAACTCTGGTCTACACCCCAGTTCTTCTATGCTTAAATCAATTCATCTTTAAAATTAAAAAAAGTCAGAAAAGAAAAAAAATGGCTATTAGCAGAAAGAAAGAGTGGTATTAATAGTTGACATTATATAATGAAGAAAAGTTTTGGCGTGAGACTTTCAGACTAGAAAGACTATAAGGCTTTTTTTTTTTTTCACTTTAGGTCAGTGTTTATTTGCAGATCACACAGAAACTGTGTGTAGAAGGATTCATAAAATAAGCTTAGGGCAAACAAAACTACTGGTAGGGAGATCTCAGGGAAATTTTTATGAATTCTCAGGATATTTTCAACAGCAGTGCCATGAACATTTTTTATTTTTTTTTTTTAAATATTTATTTATGCATACAAGAACTGGGGTGCAGATCAGAGATGCAGAGGGTGAGGGGACTCACCAGAGACAGAGTGAGGACTAGAACAAGCAGATGTACTGAAATACACTGCTGAGGGGAGCAGCGAGCAAGACAGGAGAGGTCTGATGCGCTGTGTGGGTCACCTCCCTTGCTGGGGATTGAACTCACGCTGCAGTGGCTGCAGATAGCTTCATAGTGCTATGTCTCAACCCCCTACGACACCAGGGAGGCCCCTGTACATTTTTTTAATGGCCTTTGTAATGCTCTAATACAACTTAATTATCCTAGAAGGGGTCAAAATTAAATGTTTAAGTAACAGCTCCCTAATGGCTTTGCTTAATTCCAAAACTCAGTTCATATAATATATGAAAGCATAAAGCAACCTTTCTTTGTTTCGGTGAAGCTTTGGCCTGGATTTAAAATACGTTTTTTGGGCCTCCCTGGTGGCGCAAAGGGTTAAGCACCGCACTGTGAAGCAATCTGCAGCTTCTGCAGCACGAGTTCAATCCCCGGCCAGGGAGCAACCCACATGGCACAGCAGACCTCTCTGACTCACCTGCTGCTCCCCTCAGCAGTGTACTTCAGTCTGCCTGTTCTGTTCCCCACTCTGTCTCTGGTGAATCCTCTCACCCCCCGCATCTCTGGCCTGTACCCCAGCTCTTGTATGCATAAATAAATAAATCTTTAAAAAAATAATAAAATAAAATACATTTTTTTCCTTGATCTGACTAAGTTTTACAGACCTATCAGCTGTTATGTTATAGGATACGGAGTATCAGTATTAATATCATGTCTTATAAACCCCTTCCAGCTAGGGTCAGGCATTGTGCTTCATTTAAAGTAAGGTGTTTTTTTCCCCCTAGGTTGCATCTCTTTCTTAGCTTTTGTTTTGTTTTATGTTTTTAGTTTGGCTTCATTAACTATGAAGTTGGAGATAGCAAGAAGCTCTTTTTCCATGTGAAAGAAGTGCAAGATGGCATTGAGCTACAGGCAGGAGATGAGGTGGAATTCTCAGTGATTCTTAATCAGCGCACTGGCAAGTGCAGCGCTTGCAATGTTTGGCGAGTCTGGTGAGTGTTGCTGGATTAGTAATCACCCTGAACTATTTAACTTTCTCTAATCTCTATCACATTTCTTCACTTTTCCACTACTTTTTCTTTTAAATCTTCTGCCACATCTGATTATTTCTTGACACTATTAGCGTTTTTTTTTTTTTTTTTTTTTAGCTTTAGTTTTCATTGCCTAAACTTTAGTCTCATATATGTGAACCAATGAAACATTATTAGGTACTTACTATATAATAAGTATAGAAAGGTTATGTATTTCTCTTTTTTTGAAGAGGGTTTTTTTTTTTTTCTGTTTAGGGTTTTCTTCCATTTAACCCATCTTCTAGGTTTCATGGTTAAAATTCTAATTCTAGCTTAGTTCTGACTTTTGAGTGATTTTATTTTTTAATTTCAACATTGTTAACCATGAGAGGAACTGGAAATCCCTGGAAACATTTCTTCACATTTAACTTTTCTGAGTATTTTTCGTATCTGCTATGTGTCTGTAGAACTGGACTTTCTGGCTACAGAACAGTCTTAGGGATAACCCTCCCCCATTGATTTTTTTTTCCATTTTCCTATGATAGTAAACTTTGAGTTGGGAATAAAATCATAAACAAACTTGTCTGTCCTGTCTTGCTGGCTGGCTAGATGAGGCAAGACTTCCCCACACACAAACACCCCCCCTCATTAAAAGTGAGTCATTTGGGCAGTTATGTAGAAAACACTCCTTGGCAAGTACTTGCTTTCTTCCACCAAGTGTTGCTCCTTTTCACCTTTTGACTTTGTTACAGTGAGGGCCCCAAGGCTGTTGCAGCGCCACGACCTGATAGGTTGGTCAATCGCTTGAAGAACATCACTCTGGATGATGCCAGTGCTCCGCGCCTAATGGTTCTTCGTCAACCAAGGGGACCAGATAACTCAATGGTATGGGGTCATGTAAGGTTTAAGCGTCCAACTGACAGACCAGCATAACTCAGAGAGCTCAGTGAAGCAAGGAGCTTTGGTATTGTTGTAAGTGGTGAAGATGTCCCACACATATTTGGTTCAACCTCTAATAAAATGGTTGCTCACAATAAGTACATTTCTTCTAGCAGCTTTCCTACCTGCCTGTGACTATATAGGTACCTCTTTTTCTTTCTCCATTTCCTAATAAACCTGTCCTTTAAAAATGTAAAAAAAAAAAAAAAAAAAGTACATTTCTTGGTTTTCTTGATACTTTGAGCATAGTGTATGTAGATAATGGATTGTGAGGGATAACATAGACTTCCTCCTTTAGGAAAGAACTGATTAAGATCACTAAAAATAATGTTTTGTGGTTCGTTTTGAAATTACGAGTACTGATTGTTGTGCATTGAGGTCATTAACTGTAGTTTTATTTCTTCACAGGGTTTTGGTGCAGAAAGAAAGATTCGTCAAGCTGGTGTCATTGACTAACCACATCCACAAAGCACATCATTAATCCACTATGATCAAGTTGGGGGGATTCTGGTGAAGGGTTCTGAATATCTCCCTCTTCATCCCTCCCAAAATCTGGAATACTTATTCTATTGAGCTATTACACCAGTTTTAACACCTTCCTCGTGTTATGTTTAAAGAAAAATAAATAAATTTAAGAAAACCATTTTAAAATTATGCACAGTTGCAGCCTGGAAAACTTAAGGTGGCGCCTTATAGTATCAATTTTAGGAGCTTTATTTGGTGCATTTAACGCAACTGGTAATTGCAAAATTCACTTCGCCTGTATAAGAGAAAAATATAGACTGTTATCTTGTTGGCCCTATGAAATTCTGCACTTGATATTTAGTATATTCTCTACCTTCATTACTTCCGGCAAGATGTTCTGCCACCGCATTCGGTTGCATTCTCTTCCTTTTCCTTCCTGTTCATTATGCTTTAATTCTGAGGACCATATGAGGGTAGAATGTATTACCTTTTAAAAATTACAAAAATTTATATAAGCAAACATTTCCTTAAGTTGATGGCCAAATGTTAAAAATGTTATTTTTCATATCAATTATAATCTTGTCACAGTCCACTTAACGAAGTTTGGTTAGATTTCAGTGAAAATTAATTCCAGAGTAGGTTTTTTTTCTTCCTGGGTGTGGGGGGGGAGGGTAACTTTACTACAATTAGTATGTATGGTGCAGAATTTCATGCAAATAAGGTGTGCCAGCAGTGTGATAATTTAAAACGTATTTAAACAAAAACAACAAAAGGACGAATGCACAAACTTGCTGCTGCTTAGATCACTGCAGCTTCTAGGACCCAGTTTCTTTTACTGATTTCAAAACAAAAAACAAAACGAAAAAAAAAAAAATAAAAAGTTGTGCCTGAAATGAATCTTGTTTTTTTTATAAGTAGCCGCCTGGTTCCTGTGTCCTGTAAAATACAGGCACTTGACCCTTGGTGTAGACTTTCTATCACGGGAACGGATTGGTCTGATTTTTCGGCCCTCATCTTGAATTGGCCATTTACAGGGTCCCTGGTCAGTGGACTGAAGGCTGTGTCTAAGGTGGCAGGGGTCAGCTCAGGGGATGTGGGGGAGGGCACTTTTATCTTCCCCTTGTCATTTGAGGTTTTGATCTTCTCTGGGTAAAGAGGCCATTTATCTTTGTAAACACAAAACATTTTTGCTTTCTCCAGTTTTCTGTTAATGGCGAAAGAATGGAAGCGAATAAAGTTTTACTGATTTTTGAGACACTAGCACCTAGCACTTTCATTATTGCAACGTCCTGAGGGGGCGGGGCGGGGCTGGGCGAGGCTGGCCGCGTGACTCCCGGCCGAGGCCCACGTGGCCGGGGCGGGGCCTCGGGCGCCCCGGGCGCCTCCTGATTACGTAGCGGGCGGGGCCGGAAGTGCCGCTCCCAGGTGGGGGCTTTTAATGGCGGTTCCGGGGTCTCCAACATTTCTCCCGGTAGTCCTAAGTCTGTCGGAGGCGGAGGCACCCGAGCTTGAGGTGAGAGCCGCGCGCGAGCCGCGATTGGCGCAGGAACACGGGGCGCTTCGCCGCCGCCGGCCGTCGCGCGCGCCGGGAGTGGAGACAAAGGCCCTGGGCGGGGGTCCTTCATTTTGAGCTCGCGCTGGGCGCCCCGGAGACAGGCGGCGGAGCGGGGGTCGGTCTCGCGGCCCTCCTCCCCCGGGTCGGGGGGACTTGCCGAGAGAGTTGGGGAGCGGGGGTTGGGAGAAGACTTTAGGCTGAGGGCGGAGCCCGGGGACTTGGAAAATAGGCGAGATCGGGAGTAACGAGACTCTAGTCCAGAATCCCGAAGCCCGCCGTGCCCTGCGAGTGCCGCTTTTCTCTCCTCTCTTGGAGCTCTGGGCGGGCGCGGGTTCCCGACGCGGAACCGACGCATTTCAGACCCTGCTTGTAGTTGCTGTTGAGTCTAGAAAACTTCGAAGTCCTGTCGCTGAGGCTCGCCGACTAACCCTCATTGCTGCTTCCCCGCAGGTTCTTGCTGGTGTGAAATGACCGAGTACAAACTGGTGGTGGTTGGAGCAGGTGGCGTTGGGAAAAGCGCACTGACAATCCAGCTAATCCAGAACCACTTCGTAGACGAATATGATCCCACTATAGAGGTGAGTGCGGCCCAGCGGTGGTTGGCGGACCCCACCTCCCTTGTACCCCGTTCCTGTACCTTGTGACTAATCTTTAGCTACCAAAATAATCAGAAGAGGGAAAAGCTACATCGGACACTGCGTACACGAATACCATAAGGAAAGTTCCTCACGTTTGCGGACGAGAGTGCGTTTTTATTAGCTGTGGACGGTTTTCTAAAACGCTTGTAATTTTGAAAGTTTTATAAACTTGCAAACTCAGATGAACTCATTTGGTTTCTTTCTGTGGGGTCGATCTATTTTAAAGAATGGCCATAGGGAGAACGATTGTCTCACGGGAGAATGGGAGGTTGTAAGTAGAAAGCGATGTGATTTGGAGAGGTTTTATCGGGTTCAGAGCCTAGTTCTTGGGTTCCCTCGGAGAAAAATTTCATCTGCGCTCCCCTTCTAACGGCACCGGGTGCGTTTGCCTTCCGCAGAGACAGTGAATTATGTCCAAGAGGAGAGAGAAGGAAAGGATGCTTGTTGAACAGACACAGCAGCGGGCGGAGAACCGCTTCTCCCAACGCCTGCTTAGTCAAAGGCAGCGGGCAGGAGAGCGGAGTCTTGCAGCAAATGCACTGATAAATGTTCTTTTTGGGAGGGATTCGTGCCTTTGTGGAATTGTTAACTGTTGTTGAATTATTTCTAAGGTTGGTGCCTAAGGGGTTTTTTCTATGTTTTGTTTTGTTTGAAAGGACTAGTGATTTTTTTTTTTTTTTTAAATAATGGACCCCAATCTCCATAGCCCCACCTCAGGGTCTGGATGCTTTGCTTTTTAATAGCTTGTTTAACGACTATGTTAATCATTTCTACCTCCCTCCCTCCCACCCCCCAAGTTTCTGGTCTTGGGATACCTCCTTTCCAAATTTTTTTGCTCTTAATCTCCATTAGAAAGGACTCAGCACAATAACTGGTGTTTTGCAGTTTATTCTTGAAGTAGCTGCCACTGGGTCTTGGCTTTCTAAAGCAGAAAGAACATGAGATTTGAAATCACTGTGTCTAGGATTTCCGTGGCCCCTGTTTACAATTTATTGTTAAGTGATATTGAGCAAATCATTAAATTTCTCTGAGCCTCATTTTCCTCATCTACTAAATTAAGGTAAACTTGCCCTGCCTACCACACAGGGGTATTGTGAAAAACCATGTTTTAATTATTTTGTGAGCGGTAAGGCAATACATAAAAGATTGGGTTGTTTTATGGAATTGTATGCTATAGATTCGTTTCAATAAGTGACATCTAAGATAATTTAAAAGATTTTGTAATTTCATTCAATTTAGAAATGTCTCCCTAGAGATTGTATTTCTTTAAATACACATCTTGGTCACTCTACAACCCAGCCAGTGAGTGTTTTAAGTAACACAAACTAAGTCTAATGTGGTCATTATTAAAAATTAGTTGTTCCTTAGGAAATACATTTCAAGCTTAAGACCTTAAGTATGAAAAGTTAGAAATGCTTAATGTTTTTTTGCTTTATTGATGGAAAGATAATTTGCAACCAGTGAAGTATATAAATCTGTACAGTGCAGTGACTTTTAAGACTTGTGTATACTTAACTAACTGCTGCTCAGATGAAAATACAGACTATTTCCACTGCCCTCTAGACTTCTCCCATACTCTTTTCCAGTGGGTAGACTCCCCACCTTGCTAGGAGATGAGCACTTTGTCTGGCTTCTGTTAATACAAACTGTTTGCCCAAATAGTCTATCTATAATTTTAATTTTGTTCATCTCATCAAAGTCATACCCTTTCCCATATTTCATGATGAAAGGAAGTTGTTGCAATGTGAATTCCCTGTTAATTTGAAAGTGTACATGACAGTCTCGATGAAGGGAGTTACAAAGGAACTGGTCAGCGGGAAACCTTTTTTTCCCTTTTTTTCTGAAGCTGTTATAGAGCAACCCCGATATTAAACGGGTTCCTGGCTGTGGGTCCTCACCCGCGCGCTTTAAAGGGACTTATGAATACTCTACTACAGACACACGCAAAAGGGTTAATAAAAGGTTTATTTACAAGAGAAAAAGAAATAAGGAAAATGTACAACTCAGGGAGAAAATAGGGAAATAAAGTCTTTAATGCGTCCTACCCGATCCGACGACCTGGAAACCCAAAGTCACTCTCAGAGCTGGCCGGACGCTGCAAACTGGCCGAGAGCCCAAAAAATGGAGCGCCCCCAAAGCCCATGTGTCTGCCTTTTGTATCCACCTGGCTGCTTAACCCCACCCTCAGGTCCCAGCCACTTTCCCTTGGGTGGTGATGGGATTTGGAGTTCCCAGTGTCTTTGGCTTTGACCTGGGGTGGGGGTGGAGTCCACAAAGCCTATATGGAATTTGCTTTGGGACATCCTTTTTCCCCCTAACAAAGCCAGATCTTTACTGTGATGAGGTGGTTTTCTTTGAACCAGAATTCCAGCACAAAGGTATTAAAATATAAATGAAACTTTTCCCTTAATGCCCCATTGCAAGTATTTTTTTATGTGAGTCACACAAAGTACTTTCCAAAAAATACTTTGGTAATCTAACGTTTTCTGATATAAAAAAGTATTTGTGCATTGAATCATTAGCACAAGTGACACTTTCCAGGGCCAGGTTAAAACCGGCGGAGGTATGTTTAGGATTTTAATGTACAGTGAAGGGGCCTCCCTGGTGGCTCAAGGGCTTCAGCACTAAGAAGCTATCCACAGCCACTGCAGCAGGAGTTCAATCCCCAGACAGGGAGATAACCCACATGGCGCGGCAGACCTCTCCTGTCTCACCTGCTGCTCCCCTCAGCAGTGTATTTCAGTCAGTCTGCCTGTTCTGCTCCCCACTCTGTCTCTGGTGACTCCTCACCCCCACACATCTGGCCTACACCCAACTCTTATGTGCATAAATAAATAAAATAAATCTCAAAAAAATAGTAATAATGATAATGCACAGTGAAGTTGCTATAAGCAATTCAAAAAAAAGGTAAAATATACCTCAGTAAAATACACTAAACATAATCTCTAGCTTAACTGCTGTGGAGTTGACTTTTGAATTATCACTTTTTTTTTTCCCCCATCTTTTCCAGGAACTGAGTGACCACATTTTCCTTTCTGCAGTCATACAGGATTTAGGCTTTTTTCATAGGGTGACTTACTTTTTGTTTGTGATTATGTAATGCTACTTTGAGAGACAGAAACGAACTTGGTACGGCGCTTATTTAACCTTGGCAATAGCATTGCATTCTTTCTGGCTTTTAATAATATTGAATCTCCTTCTCTTCCTGCTCCTCCCCTCTCCCCACAACCCAGGATTCTTACCGAAAACAGGTGGTTATAGATGGTGAAACTTGTCTGTTGGACATACTGGATACTGCTGGACAAGAGGAGTACAGTGCCATGAGAGACCAGTACATGAGGACAGGCGAAGGCTTCCTTTGTGTATTTGCCATCAATAATAGCAAATCATTTGCAGACATTAATCTTTACAGGTACTAGGAACATTGCTTTCTTCTGAAAGGGTGATCTTTGAGTGTGTTCTGAAGTTTTGTAGGGAGGTGAGAAATACCACACTAGGGAAGACACAGATTGTTAATTAAGAGAAGAATTGGTTCTAAGTTGTTTGACACTGAGGATCTTGGGTGACAACTAAAAGTTAATGGAATTTATTTTATATAGTAGATTATTACTGGAATTTGTGATACAGAAGTGAATTTTGCTAATGGACTATAATACAAGAACTATCGTTATGAGATCAAAAAGGAGTTTCAGAGAAATTCTCTGAAATAGCTCTGAGAAACATTTCTGCAGTAAAAGAGAATATGGTAAATAATTGGGTAGTAAAGATGAAAGCAGGGTAAAAGTACATAGAATGGTCTTTTTCCATAGAAATATAAGGTTTCAAAGTTCAGTTAGACTATTAAAAAAAAAGCTAGAATGATATTACAGAATCAGAAATAGAGTTTAAAAGATAGTTTGTTAGATTTTCTCAGACATGATATCAGCAGAGCCAAGACAAAAAACCCAGGAATCCTTTTCTTGGTTCTTTTTCTTTAAGCAGAAATGTAATGATTAAGATTGTAAACTCTTCCGGGCCTCCCCTGGTGGCTCAGCGGTTGAGCACTGGGCTGCAAGGCTGCCCGCAGCCTCTGCAGCACTGGTTCATTCCCCAGATGCCGGCGAGGGTCCCACCAAAAAAAAAAAGAAAATAGACTCTTCCTAGGTTGAAACTTGGCTTCATCATCTACTAGGCAGAAGACCTTGGGGCAAATTACTAGATCTCTGTGCCTTATTTCCATTATCAATAATATGGAATAATAGTATTTACCTCACAGTGTTGGAAAATTGAGTAGTAAATATGTAAACCATTCAGAACAGTGTCTAACACAAAATAAGTGCTACATAAAGTGCTTTACCTTCAGCCTGGAGTCCTGACTTGCACTGCATGCACCTGAAGATGTCTACCCACAGAAGCAACTGATCCAAAGCTGCATTCTGTGATTTCTTCCTCTTAAATCTTTCCATTTTCTCTCTGGAAAAAAAAATAGTACTTAATAATAAAATGTTCAGCACTTGGCAAGCACTTAATCAATATTTACTGAATTTCTACAAGCCAGTTTTCTTATATTACTCCTTAACATAAGCTGTTACAGCTGTGCAGATTGCCAGTGCAATGCATTTTGGGTGCATAACATGTATGTAATCCAAGGGTAGAGTTTAGAACAGTGCTGTACATTTTGATAGCAACAGATGACAAACCATATGTGTCTTTTAAAACTAATTAAAACAGTTTCATTTAGCTGCATGTGCCCAGTGGATATAGTTGGATAATGCACATACATATTTCCATTGTTGTAAAAAGTTCTGTTGGACACTTGGTTAAGAGAGTCTAGAGCAGGTTTCCAAATTGCTGTGTGGTGTGTTTTACAAGCTGAGGGTGGGGAGTCCAAGACCTTTTTAGACCCCCTTTAATGAGAATAGTTCTTATGGTTCCTATTTTATATTTTAGACTTCAGTTGTAATTCTGTTTGAAGAAAGTCTTTGGACACCAGCCATCTAGAAAAGTAGATCAATTATTTAGCGGCAGTGAGCTTCACTTTTATACTTCAGACCTTAATCGAGATTGTGATTTTCAGTTGCCAATTAAATCCAGAGCCAAGCTCTTGGAGAATTAAGGAGCCTGAAAAAGGCAGGTGTCCAAATAGACTAACCATCCATTTCCTCTAGTAAGTGACCTGGTACTTGGCTTTTCTGTGGCTGCTGCATCAAGTTTGAACCAGTCTCTTTAGTATGCAGGGTCTTTTATAAATAGTAGGGGGAGGAGAGAAACTTACTGCTAGAAGTTAGTGGGGCTACATAAAATTTGCTAAATTTTGGGGGCCTGTTTATTCTTTCCTAAAAGCTATTCTTATATTCCCTTTTTTAGGGAACAAATAAAGCGAGTAAAAGACTCAGATGATGTACCTATGGTGCTAGTAGGAAATAAGTGTGATTTGCCAACAAGGACAGTTGACACAAAACAGGCCCATGAACTGGCCAAGAGTTACGGGATCCCATTCATTGAAACCTCAGCCAAGACCAGACAGGTATAGTATAGCCTTAAACATCCTTTTGTTGGAGGCAAAAAAAATCTTTGATTAACTGCCGAAGCCAAAGGTCCACATTCTTTGTTATGGATTCTTAATAGTGTTCCACAGAGAACTGCTGCTTATTGATGTTTGATTCAAGGACAGACCACATGTAATAATGGTAGTGCTAAAATTGCTGTGGCCTGATGACATCATCGTGTTGTATGTTGGCAGCAGCCTCCTACACCTCATGTTTACCTCATCTCTTGATGGCATCATTTTCCCTTGTGCTTGGTTTAACATCTAATGATTTCCCAGAGCATGTCCTCGTATGAAGCAATGCGTGACTATATTCTTAATCTTCAGGTTAAGTCCAAAATGAATTGATTATGATAATGAAATTTTTACTCTTATATTAACAGACATAAATATTTCTCAAATGAAGACCGTTGATTAAAGATACTTAAACCTTAGCCTGTTCTTTATCAATACTGTTTAGGGTTTAAGTCCCCGAATGGAATCTTTAGACCTGGTAGCTCTATCTGACCCCCCAGTATACATCTTCCTTTACTTGAATGTTAGTTTTGCAAAATACGCCATCTGTTTACCCGCCTGTTAATGTGATTTAATAGGAATGCTAAATTAGTGTATCCTCTTATTAAATCATCCTCCTTTATCAGCTAATAATTTAATGACTGGAGTTTTAAATCCACATAAAGAAGTACAATTTGGATTGTGTCTGTTAAGCTATCATTTTTCTAAAATTCAATAGGGCGTGGAAGATGCCTTTTACACACTGGTAAGAGAAATACGTCAGTATCGAATGAAAAAACTCAATAGCAGTGATGATGGGACTCAAGGTTGCATGAGGTTATCGTGTGTGGTGATGTAACAAGGTAAGCTTGTGGTTTGTGGTCTCTCGACATAATTCCAAATCATCATTTAGCACCAGTCAATTTGGAGTGTTGCTATTATTTTTTCTATGTCACTGTTCAGCTGAGAGTTTCTGCTCACTTACAACTTAATTTTCCTTTCAGCATCCTTTTTGGGCATACTAAGGTCTACACTTTTTTAAAATATGCATATTTTAAGGACATTGTTAAGTTTTCAATAATGTTAGAAATTAGGCATATTTATAAAATGTTTCTGTACCATGTTCTTGGCACTGGCTAGGTATTTGAAGGCTACTATCAAAAGGAGTGATAATGACATGGTATGTTTCATTTTCTTATAGATACTTAGAAAATTCTAGCATCAGAAAAGAGCCACTGTCAAGGTAGGACAAAATTAGAAAAGAATAGCATTATTTCATGTTGGTTTCTTAGCCTTGTTTTTCATAGACTCTGTGTGCCACTTACACAGATCTGTCTTTATTTCAGCTGCACTGACACCCTGGTCCTGACTTCCCTGGAGGAGAAGAATTCCTGTTGTTATCTTCAGTTTCACAGAGAAGTTCCTGATCTTTCCCTGACTCTCAAAATACCAGTACATTTTTCACTGTTTGAGATGATCTCAGAATAACTACCTCCTCATTTGGTTGTCTGACCAGAGACATGAACCTCTCGTTACTCCCCAGTATTTTTCCACCCTAGGTTCTCCCCCCGCCCCCAACACATAAAAACACACCTCTGCCACCCCGGGGTTTTCATCTGAAAAGCAGTTCATCTTCTGAAAAAGAACCAAACTATAGACATGAAAATTGTGTAGAAGAAAACAGTATCTTGAGCTCTAACATAGCATCGGCTGGTATTTGGCTTTCCCTTTTTACTGTTGACCTTGGCACTATGTTGGTTTTTGGAGAAACATTATAAATTACTGTTTTGCTAAGAAAACAGCTAATGTTGTTATTTGGTTGATTTGTACTGTCAGCTATATTCTAAACTGGCACCTGCTCTGTGTTCATGAATACAAAGGCTAATATAACTGACTTTTGAATCTTAGTCTTCTTGACTTTCATGTAGTCAAACCAACTATCACAACAAAGTGCCTTTTTCCTAGAAATGGTTTGTGGACTTCCATTATAATGTGTCAGTGGAATAGAGATCTCAGAAACCATTATACATGAAAATGAATGTCTGACATATTTGTCTACTGTTGAGAAAAGATACACCAGTATGATAGCAGATACCATCTTAGCTGTCTGAAGTTCGTTTTCCAGAAACCTGTTTTGTGACTTTCCCAAGAGAAAAATGACATTGGGAATAATTTTTCTTAAGTTTTACCTAACCTGTTTGTTGTGTTTGTTTGTTTTTTGGTAGGTTAACACCTAAATGATGTAATTTCTTTCTAACAGCTTACTGATAGTTTAATACTCAGTGAACTTCCATTTGTATTTAATTTTGGGTCAGTTTAAAAAGCTCTACATTTACAGTGTTCAAATTTAAAAATATTTGTCACTATTTCATTAATAGTTGTGATGGGTGATTTCAGGTCTCAAACTAACACATTTTCACCACATACCATAATACCTTAAGGATGCATCTTGCCCTTGATCCCCTTCTCACCCCAATCTCTGTCCCTCCTTCTATAGCAGTGGTGGCTTTACTAGGTTTTTCAGTTGAGGAAAGCATGGTGCTAATGGACCAGGGTCACAGTTTTAGAATTTGAGTGAGCCAGTTAGAGAAATTGATTTATTTGTTGCACCAGTAACCCCAGCTAGTAGTTCTGTTAGGTGCATGCTCTTAGTCCTGCAAAGAAAAGAGGTCAGCACAAATCCTTTAACCATGAGTCGAAAAATTTGGTAGCTTGAGGCGTCTTTAAAGTATCTAGATTTTTTTCTTTAGCCCTGTAGTAACGGTTATTTAAGCCATTACTTTTTTTCATTGAGTTTGGAGAATGAGGATGTCTCTGATCAAAATTTTAGTTTTTTCTTTATTCATAATCTTTGAAGAGTTCAAAGCAGGATGTTGGTTAGTCTGTGCAGGTCACAAAAGTTAGTGAGTTTGTTGAGAAAAAAGACTTTGAAGTTGTTGTTTGAGAAGGGAATGGAAAATATGATTGATAAATCCTTATAATTTTAGTTTTTAGTTATTTAGTTATTAGAATAAGTCCTTATTATAACTTAATGACATTTCCACTTGGAGATTCTAGGGAGAAATAGACTAATAAAAATAGACTTGGATAACTTTTGCAGTTCCAAAATTGCTACATCAGTTGTGATCTTCTAATGCGTAGACACTTACTGAGGTCCCCTGTTTCCCTGTAGGAATTTTCATTTATTAAATAAATTCTGCACTGCCTTAAAATTAGTTGAGAAGGGAAGAACTGGACTGGGGGGCCCGGAGTCCAGGGCGGGCCTGTCCGGTTAGTCTGAGAGCTCCCAGTCCTGTCAGCACCTGGAAGTTGGCTCTGCTGCTTTGTTTCTGCTCCTCTGGAGGTTGCTCTGTTTTCCTGTGGCTCTTCTTACCTCAGTTGTTGTTTGTTCTCCTCTTTCTCCTCTTCTTTGCCTGACAGTGACTCTTTAAAATGTCAAGTTAGGGGAAAGGACGCGTATTTGGGGCTCCTGTGCGGGTGGCCCATGTGTGTATGAGTCTTATGGTTTTCTCAAGTATGTTGTAAGCACAGAAGTATCTAAATGGGGCCAAAATTAAAACTTGAAAATGTTCTCAAGGTATGCGTTTTGGCACAACTGAGTAACAAATTAATAGTGTAATGCTGAATCACTTCAGTTAGTGTGGTATAAAGTGTGGTTTTTGTAATACATTTGTGATAGCTGAAAACAGTTGTAGTTTACCTCAAAAATCTCATTTTCTTCCCAAGTTAAGTGCCTGGCCAGCTGTCGTAAGTTACATATTAACATGTGTGTGTTTGTCTTAAAGTTTTCAGGTTCAAGAGTGTAAAAAATAAGTTTGTTTGTTTGTTTTCCTAAAGGCTGCCATGCCTAGTCTATAAATGAATCTTAAATGCTGTATTAGCTCCAATAGGTTGGTGTAGAATATTATGGGTAAATACTATTTTACCTAATGACGTTTTTCATCTTAGGAGTTCAATAGTGTTTTACTGGGCCCCATTGTGACTCCTCATCATCCTTTAAACTGCTGTGAATCCTTTATCTTGACTTGAAAGCAAAGATAAACACTCTAAAGATTTTTTTTTTTCCATTCCAGAATTTGTCATCATACTTTGCTTTACATTTACAGTCATCAACCCTTAAGCTGGCAGCTACAACCAAGAACCAAAAAATGGTGCATTCTGCTTCTTGTAATTCATCTCTGCTAATAAATTACAAGAAGCCAAGATAGATAAATTAGGGAAAATATTTTATTTGGGTGGTTTCTTTAAACAAGGAGCAACAGTTCTCATACATTTTCTTTCTGTTTTGCTGTTTCTTTGATCAGTCTTATGTGCCACAAAACTATTTTAAGGTGTTTCCTGTAAGATTTGTTTAAAAGTATTCTAAGAAATAGTTGGATTCTAATCTGGAAGAAAGGGAGCTGGGTAAAAGGCCAGAATTTCTGCCCCAGTTGAATTCTAATCTGGAGCATAGGGAGGCTCTCAGTGGAAGTTTGTATGGCTTACATTTCTGTGCCATCAAATGTGAGTAAAAATAACGGTTGTGCAATTCTGCTGTTTAAATGGAACTATTGGCTTCCTTGGCCCTCAGTGAAGGGCTGCTTTTTAAGTTGAGTATTGTAAATTCATCCACCCTAATTTTTGAAAACTTTGTTGAATGTTTTTATTGTTCAATGTTCAATGTTTAAATAAAAACTGGAAGTTCTTTGCTTAGTCATGATTCTTTTCTCCACTGATGTACCGTTACTGAAAGTTAGTATTTTCAGACTTTGGGATGTGACATTTGGACAATGTTGGAAGATCTGAGTTCCTTGTTTTCTCTCTAAAATACATCAAAGTGTACTGCTGCAAGCAGTTGCCTTTGCGGCATTCATAGCCATTGTCACCTCACATATGAATGTGAAGTGCTAAAAACTACCACAGGAGGTCATTTGTGCTGTTTTTTGCATCACTACACAGTTCACCACTCTTGGTGTAGCAAGTTGGAAGAGCATCTACAAGCCAGAGGACGTGGTTCCAACTATAATTTCAGTATTCTGATCCATAATTTGCTTGTTTGTTAGGAAAGGAAATTGGACTAGGATATATCAGATTTCTCAACCCCAATTTAAGGAGCTGGTATTGGGAAAGAATAATGTCAAATTTAGGTTATTCTGCCTAAACCACAATACTGTGATTATGAGGACCATGGTTTATTCTACCAATACTGCAGCAGCGTTTTCTACTTCCTTAAAAAGGGGGTGGGGGAAGATCATTAATCAGATTGGCCTGACTTTAGCTTGAAACCAAGAGAGGCGTGTTGGAGTAGTTCAAGTCGTTACTGCTACCTTCAGCAAAGTAAAGCTAATGAGTGACAAGTGATGAAAAAGTAGCCAGAGAAACTTGTTTATTTGGAATGTGAGGGGGCCTCCTTTGCCTCTGCTGGTAAGATTTCTGTTCTCATAATAAGCAAAACTCAAGGTCACTAAAAGGCCAACATAGTTGCATGAGATATTTGATACCCATAAATACATGTAAAGCGGCCAAGAGGCTTTGCTAGTGATCATTTTGCAAAACTGAGGCTTCAGAGAGGGTTCAGTTCCATGATTAGAGAGGACAGTCAATGTCCATTATTACCAAATGGAAAGGATAGGCTTTCTTAGTGTTTACTGAATAAACTGGGCAATGAAATGCAGTCCTATGGAATAACTGGATCCTAACACACAAAGTAGAGATAGCAGTCATACAGATTTATAGGTCATTTATAGATAAATTACAGTCTTTGCAGTGCCCAAAGGAGCACTGAAAGGTTCAGATTTATGTCCTGGATATAGTTTTATTCATGATTAACTTCCACTAAGATAGTTTCTATAGTAACCTACTGGTGGGGGTAGGAACATGTTTTCCAACCTAGAAGACGGAACTAAGTCCCCACAGCCTTTCCCCTCAGTCTCTTTTTTTTTTTAAAGGAGTATAAATACCAGCCATTTGTAGACAATTGTTTAAAGTTGAAAACAAGGGTAGTTCTTGTCATCTTGGGGGTTAAAGTGATTTTAAATGTTTCTAAAGATAGAGGCAGCTACATGCCTAAGGAGGAGGATGTGGTTGGAACTGAGCGGCTGCCCACTAGGGCCTTTGGATGCAGGAGCCTGCCTGAAATATTACCCAGGTTAGGAATAGCAATCTTCCAGACGGCTGCTGTGTAAGTGATGACGTTGACCCTCTGTAAGCTTGAGATATGTGTTGCACGTCATAGTTAAGTCTGAAAGAAAACTGGCACATTATTTTAACAGTATAAATCAGTTCTCTGGCCTCCCCGGTGGCTCAAGGGCTTAAGTGCAGCACTATGGAACAGTCCACAGCCTCTGCAGCACAAGTGCGATCCCCGGCCAGGGAGCACCCCACATGGCCCAGCAGACCTCTCCTGTCTCGCCCACTGCTCCCCTCAGCAATGTACATCAGTCAGTCTGCCTGTTCTGTTCCCTGCTCTGACTTTGGTGAATCCTCTCATCGCCTCCCACACCCCCCTGCATCTCTGGCCTGTGCCCCAGCTCTTGTATGCATAAATAAATCTTTAATAAATAAATCAGTTCTTCACATTAACAGCTGAGACTCAACACCCTGAAGGCTTTGTTTAAACCAATGGGATGGAGTTTAAAGATGACCTGAAAGTTAATCAGGAAGACTTGTTTGTTTTGGGGAGAGGCCTCCCTGGTGGCACAGGGGTTAAAGACAGCACTATCAAGCTATCACCAGCCACTGCAGCATGAGTTCGATCCCAGGCCAGGGAGCTGACCCCCATGGCGCAGCTCCTGTCTCACCCGGGGTCTCACCTCAGTAGTGTATTTCCTCCTACACTTGTGACTGTACTCAGTGCTTGTATAAATATATAAATAAATCTTTTAAAAAAAATCCCTTTTGACATAAAAAGGCTCTCAAATTTATTATAAGTATAACTTTTCTTTAAAAAAGAAGTCTTTTTTTTTTTCTTTAATTTTTTTGAAAACAAAATTTCTTAGTGGGAATTTGGTGGTGTTTCAAAGGAGAAGGACCTTGTTTATGCTGAGACATAATTTGTTCTCTCTGCCCATTGCTGCCCAGGATCACCTTCTTTCTGATTCTCTAATACTCCAGGCTACCCAAGCACCAGTCTAGTTGAGAGATACCCTGCCGCGCCCCAGCACTAGACAGCCAAACCCTGTGCAAGGTGGGTTTTCCCCCTCCACCAGGTTTGGGGTTTGAATCCAGAAGACAAGCCTTTTAACGCTGAACCTAGCTAGGGCCACTCAGAGTATGAGATGCAGAGGTTTTTTGTTTCGTTTTGTTTTATAAAGATTTTATTTATGTGTACAAGAGCTGGTGTGTAGACCAGAGGTGCGGGGGTGTGGAGGGTAGGTGAGAGGATTCACCAGAGACAGAGTGGGGAGCAGGACAGACAGATGGACTGAAATACACTGCTGAGGGGAGCAGTGGGTGAGGCAGGAGAGGTCTGCTGCGCCATGAGGGTCAGCTCCCAGACCAGGGATCGAACTGATGCTACCGTGGTTGCCAATAGCTTCATAGTGCTGAGACTTTACTGCTTGCACTACCAGGGAGGCCCCAAGATGCAGAGTTTTTTTAAAGGATCAATCAGGCTTGAGCGCACACCAGTGCCAATCAAGTCTTGGAAAACTTGCCCAGTTTTGTAAATGGGCCTATCACGGTGAAAGCAGGGCACCCTGAAGGGCATATAAGCAGGGCAGCGGACAACCTCATTCATCGTTGGAGATCGTTTCTCAAGGCTTTTGCGTCAGAGACCTCATTCACTGAGACCTTTGCCTCCACCTCCTGAGTCCCACAGGCCATGTTTAAATAGCTATTGATTTCACCAACCTACTACAACCATCTATCAAAGTGGGTCTTGCTAGGTTGCAGCCTCACACCTAGTGCTGAACCCAGTGTCTTGTAGACACAGTCAAGGTCATTGCACAACTGCGCAACAGTGAAACAGTGTATGACACTGGTTAAGAGCCCTGACTCTGGAGCCAGATACAGAATTGAAATTCCACCCCTGCCATTTTGACTGAGACCAGGGGCAAGTCAACCTCTCCACCAGAATCTTCTCAACTGTAAAATGGAGGTAGTAGTAGTTTAAAAAAAAAAAAAAAAAAAAAAAAAAAACCTTAAGAAAATTAAATAATATATGCAACAAGTAAAACCAGCACTTGAAATAGTGCTTTTACCTCTGTCAATATCGCATGACCCTGCAATGTCTCGCTCTTCTAACAGAGGAGAACACTATTAAAGCTTAGGTTGTTTTGTTAAAAGCAAATTGCTGAATTTGAGTTCCATTCAAGAGACAGGAAATAAAGTCAGTTTGCTTCATGGAAAAGGATGAGTCCTATAAATTTGACTCTTTTATTTTTAGGCATGAATGGAAAATTATAACTGATAGGAAAATAAGGCTGCATGCAGAAAAATACCACAGGTTTGGTTATACTCCAAAACAAAATTAATTCCTGGTATAAGGAACTCTTCTATTAACAGAGTGATCCAAAAAATCTGTAATTACTGCTGACAAAAATGATGTATTCCCAAACTGGAAGTCATAATGAACTCAGAACTCCCTTTGAAGCAGTGAAACAAAGGATTAAACTAATGCTGAAATGGACAATAACCCTGATTCAAGAACCCTTTGTCTCTGAACCACAAATGACTGTGGGCTTTAGGGAGGGAGGGGAGCTGGGGGGGCTAAAGAGCTGTATAAGGTGGGAGTTCCCAGAAACTTCCACAGCAAGGAGAACGAATAGAAAGGCCTTCCTGGACAAAAGAAATAAGGCTCCAGTGATCTGCCTAGATCATTCCTGCTAAGGGTCTGTCACCTGCTTCCTCTGATTCCAGGTATCTCTACTTTGATGAGACACAAGAGAGCTTCCTTTGCAAATTTGTTACTTGGAACGCTAAATATTTTCCATTGGAATAACATTCTAAATGATGGTTAGGTTCCCGCTTCTCTCCAGTGTAGCCCGTAATATAGCTGAAATAATCACATTAACAACTTTCAAAAGACAGAGAAAATAATATTTTTGCCTTGTTAAAAACCAAAGCAGGAGCCTCCCTGTTGGCGTAAGGGGTTAAAACATGCTTGATTATCCGGACAGACGGAAATACACTGCTGAGGGGAGCAGCGGGCAAGACAGGAGAGGTCTGCGGCGCCATGTGGGTAGCTCCCTGGCCGGCTGGGAATCAAACTGGTGCTGCTGAGGGTGCCGACAGCTTCACAGAGCTGCGCTCAACCCGCTGCACCACTGGGGAGACCCTAGATTTACTTATTTTATATACTGATACAACCCAGCAGGATTAATAGAGAAAATGAGTAAGTAGATAGAAACTTGTCACATTGATGGGGACTACTCTGGGGCATTTTCCTTAAGATGATGATGGGACTGGGATTTGTTTTGTTTTATTTTACATTTAGTGTTTTGTTTTTAAATGATAGAGAAAATACATGTTCATGGTAGAAAATGCAAATAAACTAAGAGAAAAAAGTTAATCATCACCACTATCCCACTACCCAGACAGAACAGTATAAATTGCCCAGGCTGTTTGCAATGTCTACAGTGATACATAAATCATATACATTTCTATTTTTTTTTTAAGATTTATTTAATGCATACAAGAGCTGGGGTACAGGCCAGAGGTGCAGGGGGTTGGTGAGAGGATTCATGAGAGACAAAGTGGGGAGCAGACCAGGCAAATTGA